AGCGCATTTAAGGACCGCAGGCCCTCTCAATGCGCTTTACAGATATACTGTTCTATATTTCTCACATCCTTCTATACATAGAATTGAATTAGCTTTGAGCTCAGAATTAGAAAATATGTATTACTGGATGTGCCAAAACAAATTAAGTGTCAACTAACAAAAAACAGTTCGTATGCTCATTGGAAGCAACCACTTGATATCTAAAAAGAATGTTATCCGAGTTTCATTGAATGACATCTCCATAGATCAAATTCATCATGTCAAGTACCTTGGCGTCTTAGTTGATGACAAGTTAAACTGGAATTTACATATAGACAATATGTTGAAGAAAATTGGTCAAATGGTAGGCTTTCTAGGAAGACTGAGTCGATTATGTAAGTGAATCGGTACCGAAATGAATATATAGCTCACTGATCCTTCCGTATTTTGATTATGGTGATGTTTTTTACAGTGCAGCTTTCAGGAAATATTATACAGATCGCCTCCAAGTTAAACGCCTAAACCACTGAGCTTCCGGGGGCTCTGCCCCCTTGACCAAACCGAGGGCCCTAAGGCGGGCTCCTGGATACTCATCTGACCGTAATTTATCGCCTAAAACCCCTGAGCTTCAGGGGGCTATCCCCTGGATCCAAGCGCGGACCCAGGATTTCTTAAGGGGGGGGGGGGGCCAAATTTAAAATTATGCGAGCCAAATATTGGTACGTAATGGTGACACCGGCAGTGGCAAAAACATTTTTTTTTTTTTTTGAGGGGGTAGATAACTAAAAAATAACCATCACCCCATTCTTACATGCAGGCCCGGCATAACGTTTTTCGGCGGGGGTCAAGGGGTGGAGCCCCCAGAAGCACAGGGGTTTAAATACTGTCAGATGAGCACATTTTGATACCTAATTGTGACACTGGCAGGACACAAACTGGTGTGGGGTCCAGAGGGCGGAGCCCCCAGAAGCTCAGGGGTTTTTGGCAATAAATTACGGTCAGATGAGTATATTTTCATACCTTATTTGTGACACTGGCAGTCTACAAATTGGTGTTGGGTCCAAGGGGCGGAGTCTTCAGAAGCTCAAGGTTTTTTTTTTACATCAAATTATCGTCAGATGAGCATAATTTTATAACTTATGTGTGTCACCGGCAGGTCGAAAATTTGCGTGGGGTCCAGGGAGTGGAGCCCTCGGAAGCTTAGGGGTTCGGGGCAATAAATTATGGTCAGAATAGCATATTTTGATTCCATTTTTGTGACACTGGAAGGACACAAATTGGTGTTGGGTCCAGGGGGCGGAGCCCTCAGTAGCTCACGGGTTTTATACATTAAGTTATTGCAGATGAGAATATTTTGATACCTTATTTGACACTGGTAGGTCACAAATTGGCGTGGGGCCCAGGTGGTTGAGCCCCCGGAAGCTCAGGGGTTTGGGGCAATAAATTACGGTCAGAATAGCATATTTAGATATCTTATTTGTGACACTGGCAGGACGCAAATCGGTGTTAGGTCTAAGGGGCGGAGCCCCCAGAAGCTCAGGGGTTTTAGGCATTTATTAACGGTCAGATTGGCATCAAGCCGTCCTCCTTAGGGCCCTAGGTAAGGTCCAGGAGGAAGAGACACCGAAAGTCAAGGGGTTTTAGGCATTTAATTACGGTCAGATGAGCATATTTTGATACCTCATTCAAGTTGTGGCACTGGTAAGTCACTAATTGGTGTGGGGTCCAGGAGGCGGAGCCCCCAGAAGCTCAGGGGTTTTAAGGCATTTAATCACGGTCAGATGAGCAATTTTTTTTTTGCCCCGGAAATTAGAAAATTACGTCGTCAGATATTCGTTCAGTGGCTCAGGAGGGGGTGGGGGGGGGGGGGGGGGTAGAAAAACTTTTTTCTTTTTTGTTGCTTTCTTATGCACAATAGAAAAAATCTTTCCCCCCTTTTTTTTGCCAGGGGCGGGGGGGGGGGGGCCGAGGGCGGGCCCCTGACTGCTTATCTGACCGTTATAAAATGCCCATACCCCTGAGCTTCCTGGGCTCTGCCCCTAGACCCCACGCCAATTTACACTAGGCTCTACCTGATCGTAAATACTTTAGCCTACCCTACCTATTTTGAAAAACGTTAAGCGGGGCCTGCATGTAATATAGGGGTGATGCTGATTTTTGTCTGCCCCCCAAACGTTTTTGCTCATTACGCCACTGCTGTATTGTCACCATTACGTACCAATATTTGGCTCGCATAATTTTAAATTTGGGCCTCCCCCCTAAGAAATCCTTGATCCGCGCCTGATCCACTGTATATCATGCATTGTTATTATACGGAAATAAATACTACTACTACTATTCTCTGTGATCCCCCATCTTTCCAAGTGCCCCCCGTTTCTCCATGTACTTCCTTTTTTTCCAAGTACCCCCCCCCCACGTCTCACCCCCCAATTGTCTTCAAACATATTTCTGCCTTTCCCTCCATCTTTCCTCTCTGGCAGGTCCATTCACATTTCCATCATGTACATCAACCTCTCTTGAACAGTCATATGGAGAGACAGACAGAAAAAAAAAATGCAACACACGTACATGTATTTCATACAATGAGTATCGACAGGTATTTTATAACAAAAAGGATACTACATAATTATTCAAAGGCAATTGGATACTGAAAGAGTTAGGAAAAATACAAATATGAAATGACCTCCCCCCCCCCCCCCCACCCTCACATAAGATCATTCCCACCTTAATAGTTCATCTTACTGATATCATTAGTATCATACTAGTAATCTACTTGATACATTACATGAAAGATGTTAACAAATTCTATATGATAATGTTAGGATGGTAAACCAATAACTTTATAGTCTTATTATTAAAAGAAACAACAAATAAATGCTATCGTCACAATTATGGATGTAAGCCTGGGTGTCACCATCTAATAGTGAGCCAAGTTAAAAGAACGAATTAGACTTTAATAGACGAATCAAAATAATGGTGAGAAGAGTGAGGTAATCATGAAAAAGTAGGCTTGGGAGATTGGAATAGAAGAGGGGAGGGAGGAAGGGAGAGAGAGAGAGAAAGAGAAAGAAGTTTCTAGTAATACATTAGTTGACATATTTGTGATTTTCTTTGAATTTCACCTTTAACAAATTCTTATTAGAATACATTATTATTACTATTATTTGAATTAAAGACAATAGACCTAAAAGAATGGTGAATGTCCTCAAATCCAATATTTCAAGCACATTTCCCAAGCCAATCTCACTCTTCATATCCTTGATGTATTTCTCTTATTCTTTTATCTTCCTCCTTTGTTTCTTTATCATTGACTTTTTCTTTAATATCATCATCAACGTCATTATCGTACCACCATCAGCATTATCATCGTCATAATCATAATCATCATCACAATCATCATAGCCATCACGATGCAATTATTTTGTACTTTTTGTTGATTTATGTCTTCGTTTCTTTTGTTTCTTGTTTTCACTAGACACCACACTGTCTTGTCATCCCTACCACCACGTTTCTGTTAAGCCTATATACCATATCCTTATTACCCTTATTATCTTTATCAATTAAATTGTCATTTTTGTTATCATCCTCATATCTATTGCTATCACCATGACAGCCTTGCTATGTTTTTATGGTCATCCTCATTTTAATAACGTCCTCCATATCGCAAGTGACGTTGTTGTTTTTATTGTTGTGTTCCTATCGTTGATCTCTTCTCTTATTAATTGAATCCGTCTAAGTGATGACGGTCTTGGTAATTCATGAGAAAGGAACGCATCAGTTAATTGCATTGACAGGTTATAATGAGGATCCTACAAATTGAAATTGCAAATGTGTCATTTTTTTCAATGGGAGAGCAGCAAAACTTGATTGAATCAATTTCCTTTGTTTTTCACCGTAATCACACCAAAATCCATATTCGTTATTTGATAATCTTCAATATCTATACAACTTTGATGATATCAGTCAATCGACTACAAGAGACAAAATGGCATCTCAATAACACGGCCATACAAAAGGTCTCTCCGCTATGGTTAATATCAATCTCATCTATCTTTGAAGCGATCTGAAAACACCGGGGAGATATTCATCTCATGGGCGAGCCTTCTACATGATATACAAAATTGTAACTGTCTAACGAACTCTGATCATTCATTTCTGATCATGACTTAAATCATAAACCACTGGTAAACAAAAAAACAGCTGGACATTTGGAATTTACAAGTACTGGTAAGAATTAGAAATGTTAATATCATGTTAATAAAATCAAAAGATCTTTAATTAATTGTCAAGAGTAGGCCCCAAACATGAATTTGTAACAAATGCATTCACAAGACTTAAATGGGAAATGGGATTTTGAGGTTGAAATGTGCAGGATGTAGGCTCAAAGGTAAACTTGAGAAATTATCAGAACATGATCTGCTATGTATGTGCAGGCTGTGGGCACAAAGGGAAACTTGAGAAATTATCAGAACATCTGCTTTGTATGTGCAGGCTGTGGGCACAACGGTAAACTTGAGAAATTATCAGAACATCTGCTATGTATGTGTAGGCTGTGGGCACAAAGGTAAACTTGAGAAATTATCAGAACATCTGCTATATATGTGCATGCTGTGGGCACAAAGGTAAACTTGAGAAATTATCAGAACATCTTCTATGTATGTGCAGGCTGTGGGCACAAAGGTAAACTTGAGAAATTATCAGAACATCTGCTATGTATGTGCAGGCTGTGGGCACAAAGGGAAACTTGAGAAATTATCAGAACATCTGCTAAAAAGTGAAATGCAGTTTGTAATACTAGTTTGGTATAATCAATTCACATTTGAGTACGGGACCATGGTCCACTGTGATCCACATTGTTCGTTCATAATAAAGATGAAGATATACAGTGCATCCCAGAAAAAACGAAACTAATAATTATCAATGTTTTATCATAACTTAATCACAATTATAATTAACAAATGACAAATATTTGTAAAGCTTATATGATGCATATTTCACGCATGAGTGATTAAAAACAATTAGAAGGGAGGAAACCAAAAAGTCATTTGGCGAGTGGTATCTGAATTTCAAAGAGAAAATCACATTTCTAGAAAGTTTGTTTTCTGCACTTTCATATGATATCTCAATCAGGAATAACAAAGTTCTGTTTGTTTAAAGTAATGCATGCATTTCCATAACTTGATTAAACGAGTTCGTTTTCACTGGCATCATCAAGTCTTTCGAATTCTTTGTGCATAGCTGAAACAGAGTTAAGTCTTTTGTCAACTCTGTTTGTTGATACAATAGGCAGCCAGTAAAAACAAACTTGTTAAAATTTAGGGTATTTTAATTCTCATGCAATGCTCCTCTCATATGATTCCAGATTACATACTCAAACCATGTTCTATGTCAAATTTGCTCAGCTACAAAAGTAAGCTAGAAAACAGTGGGTATGTGCAACTATGGACATTGTACCTGAACAAATCCTGTTCACTGTTCCATGAAACAAAGGTTGTTAAAATTGCACACCCATACATGTAACAATTTCATGAGTGTCACATGATAGCTTTTCAGCCAATAGGATACCCTTTCACAAATATGACTAGATATTGATGGAAATAAGATGTCTTCACTCTTAGCAGATGTTGTAATAACTTTACTCTTCTGTTCCAAATCATTTCTGCTTTGCTAACCTACTTGTTCTAGGTCGACCCTTTCCTCTACTCTTGCTTTCATTCTGCTCTGTTTTGTGTTTGCAGGACTCAGTCCTGTCATCCTCTAAAACTCTTGTGTTTCTTTTCCCTTTCTTACTACTATTTACACTAGCAGCATTCTTAAACTCTTCTCTAGATTGTGCACCTTTTGAAACTTCCATTCTCTTCTTCCTATTTCCATTTTTACTTCCCTTCTTGTTAACTTTATCTCCTCTTGCCTTGGTACTTGTATCTCCTCTTGCCTTCGTACTTGTATCTTCTCTCTTTCGTGATGATGTAGGAACATTTGATGCAGCTTTGGTTTCAGAGCTCATTTTCGCTGTGCGTTTTGATGTTCTCTTTCTGTTCTTCTTGGAGATATCATGGTCTGAATCTTCTGTTTTCTTGGACTGAATAAGTAAGATTAAAGAAAAATCTGTATTAGAAACATCTATGATGATACAAGCGGTAAAATATTACAGAGCGATATGAAATAGAAAACAAAGATAAATGCGACTGCGTCTCCTATATCATATGCCTCTGCTGTTAATTCAGTATAGGAAACAGATGGAATTCTTCATGACATATTTATCACAATGAAAACTAAAAGCCTATAATCAAATGTTGACTGACGACTATGATCCTCACGTACTAGCCCCAAATGAAATTGGATCATCTTCCTATAGTAATACTGTCATCATGTTTTTATATATTGCTATATTGTTATAGCAAGGCTAAAGACCTTTAATTTTTGAAATTGACCTCTGTGACCTTTGACCTATTTAACCAAAATCTGAGCTAGTTGTTCTTGAGATATTATGATAACAAGGCTAATATCTAGAATTTCAGAAATTGACCTCTGGGACCTTTCGAAGTTGAAAGAGTAAAAAAAAGAAAGACTAAAATAAGAAAGATAGAAAGAGAATATGATAGGAGGGTAGTATACAATAACAACAAGAAAGATAGATGATAGAAGGAAAAAGCAAAGAATAACATAAGGATAGACAGAAAGGCAAAACAATAAAAATTGAACAAAACATTACATAAAGAAGGCTAGAAAGAGAAAATAGTAGAATAATAAAATTAAGAATTTCAAATTGAAAGAGAGAGAAAATGACAGAAGGATAAACAAATGTCAAAAAGAGAAGATAGAAAGATAAAATGATGGAAGTACAGTCAAACTTGCTTCAGTGACCACCTGTCTACAAAGACCACATTTTTTATTTCCCTTGAAAATAGTTTCTCGTTGAAACATGTACTAAAGGAACCTGTCTACAAAGACCACCTGTCTACAAAGACCACTTTTTGTATTTCCTTTGGGCGGTCGCTATGGACAGGTTTGATAGAAGGAAAACAAAGAATAACATGAGGAAAGATAGAAAGAGAAAGTTGTAGAATGATAAACCAAGATCAACATAAAGAAATAGAAAGAGAATATTATAGAAGGATAAGGATAAAGATAAAGAAAAAAAGGAAAGAAGAGAAGGTGATAGGAGAAAAACAAAGAATAACTATTAAAATAGAAAAATAGAAAGAAAAGACAATAAGAGAATAAAATTAAAGAATAGCCTAAGGATAGATAGAAAATTAAAGAGTAACATAATAAAAGGAGAGGAAAGTGAAAGGAGAAAAGCAATAGATAACACAATGAAATATGTTTAATAAGTAGCATTGAAAGGAAAACAAGGAACAACATAAGTAAGTTTGTTTGTTTCTTTTATTTTTGAAGAAAAGGAGGAGGAAAAAGAAAAGACAAGAATAAAGAAGAGATGGAAACAAAACATTAAAGATAAAGACCAGTTCTGGTCATGTGAAAGAAACGTTGTGGAATCGATCAGAAAAGGTTGATCATCTAGCATATAAATAGCCTATTGGTGTGTACTACAAGGTTTTGGAATCATCAAAATGATAAGAAATTTGGCCCAGTCTTGGTAAAGTTACAAGCACTGTACACAGAAAGATGTATATGGGACCAGTGACACGTGCGCAATATCTATCAGGTCCAAAATTTGTATCATCACGTATTAGTCAAAACATATTCTTTCACATGATTAGGAATGAGAGCTTCCATTTGATTTTTTGAGAGGGGGGCGTTTCCAAAACTGGTCTATACCTTTAAACAAGGAAAAAAGATAGTACATAAGTAATATTGTAAGGGAAACAAAACAAAACCATGACTCGCAAGCTTGCAGCGCAAAGAGTTGGATTCTGTTAAAAAATGACCTGTGCTGTCATAGCACCAGAAACAGTTTCTGTTGCTATGGCATCACGTGTCTCATCAGGGTAAAAACTGCGATGAGTGTGAAACCAAATGAACCGTACCTCTGGAGTGGTCCAGGGGATGGTCTATAGGGTAGATCGGTCCAGCAAAGTGACTGGGAAAGAGGTCTTAATCAATCTTTTATAATTACTTCCAGACAGTTTCTTTCAAAATAAAATCATATGACCAGAACTCTTGTGTTTTAGTTTTATCTCCATATATTTGTACCTTCTTAGGAGTTTTTACATCATCAGTGCCAGTAGCCTCTTTTCGCTTCTTTGGACTTCTTATGCTACGAGATTTTCCATCTACAATAAAGAAAACATAAACACATACATACATACATAATAAGTTAAAATAAGAAGATTCCTATCATGGCAGAAGGGCGTAAGCTCGAATTTCAGGTAAAAAATGAAGTGCTAAGCAGAAGGGCCTTAGCACTACATTGCCTCAAACTTTTATAAAACAAACTTATTTCTGAAAAAAAATTGTGCCCGTGTTCTACTATTTTCGGGACGGAAAGCAGTTTAAATATCAAACAATTTGAAAAGTAGTTTTCGAGTCACTCGCTAGGCAACAAGCTTCTTTTGGACGATGCATTGACCAACAGAGAGAGCATTCATGAACTCCTCTGTGAAGCTAAGAAACCTGTCAGAGTAGCATATGTCATTGAATTTTGCACTTTGGCATCTTTTAAAAGGCAGAGAAAAAGTGTTTTTGGGGTATAATTTGATCATTTAATGAAATTGGTTAATCCATCTGTTTCTTAGATTTCATACAAGCTGTCGATTGAATGGACACTTCAGTACATGTGACATCAATCATATTATTTAACCATCCCAAACTGACCATGATGAAATGAAAAACTCCCATATGAATGCATGTCCAATTCTGTGAAGTCGTAGACAGTGATTCACTGTGAAATCTACATATCTTTTAAGATAACAGAACTTGTTGCAAATAAGTTCTTTCCAAATTGTTATTGGTACATTCAATGTGAAGGTGATTTTTGTGACAAACCAGGATCATACCACAGAGAAAAGTTCCCTTAAGGTACCATTGCACCTGGTGGACTTGAGATCGTATAGTCCTATCATGGTGGTCTACTATGTTAGTCATACCATCTAGGTGTAAAAGATTAAAGAGAAAAGTTCCCTTTAGGTACCATTGCATCTGGTGGACTTGAGATTGTATAGTCCTATCATGGTGGTCTACTATGTGAGTCATACCATCTAGGTGTAAAAGATTAAAGAGAAAAGTTCCCTTTAGGTACTATTGCATCTGGTGGACTTGAGATCGTATAGTCCTATCATGGTGGTCTACTATGTGAGTCATACCATCTAGGTGTAAAAGATTAAAGAGAAAAGTTCCCTTTAGGTACTATTGCATCTGGTGGACTTGAGATCGTATAGTCCTATCATGGTGGTCTACTATGTTGGTCATACCATCTAGGTGTAAAAGATTAAAGAGAAAAGTTCCCTTTAGGTACCATTGCACCTGGGGGACTTGAGATCGTATAGTCCTATCATGGTGGTCTACTATGTTGGTCATACCATCTAGGTGTAAAAGATTAAAGAGAAAAGTTCCCTTTAGGTACCATTGCACATGGGGGACTTGAGATCATATAGTCCTATCGTGGTGGTCTACTATGTGAGTCATACCATCTAGGTGTAAAAGATTAAAGAGAAAAGTTCACTTAGGTACCATTGCATCTGGGGAGTGTTTATAAAGACTAAGATCAACTTTAAGTTGGACTTAACTATGGCAGGATGTTCATGCCACTGTTTGCTCTCACCATTATGATCTTTAGATAATATTTTTTCCTTTAATAATGAATTATCAAAAATGTAAATTCTGTAGATTTGTGACCATGATTTGTTCTCCCTTGAGAGGCCAATGCCAGTAAATGGTGAGAGCAAACAGTCAACAGCCTGCCATAGTTAAGTCCAACTTAAAGTCGATCTTAGTCTTTGTGAAACACTAGGAGCTGTGAAACAATAGGAGCTCCACTCTGCTGCTCGTGAGGCTCACCTACTCTGGGTTGAAGCTGGCAAAACAGACAGGGACGGTTATTTGAACTAAAGAAGAGGGCCAATGCACGATTCAAGTATGCTCTCCGTTTTATAAACAATAATGAGAATGTTATGCGGGCGGACTCTGTTGCTCGTAAATTGCAGGGTAAAAGTTATTATGAGTTTTGGAAAGAAATTAAATGTGTTAATAATAGTAAAGCGCCTCTTCCAACTAATATTGAAGGTATCTCTGGTGATGAAAAAATAAGTGAATTGTGGTGTAATCATTATAAGAATTTGTGTAATTGTGTACAGAGTACGGTGCAGGATGTTACTAATGTTGACTTTGATGTAAATATGGTTATCTCTCCAGAGGAGGTTAAAGAAGCTATCAGAAAATTAGACGACAATAAGTCATGTGGTCTTGATACTATTACAGCTGAACATCTAAAGTTTGCAAGCCCGAAACTCATGCCGTTGCTTGCAATGTGCATTTCTGGCTTTTTGATTCATGGTATCTTACCAGATAGTATGATTTCCATTGTTTTGGTGCCAGTCAATAAAAAATAAAGCTGGTCGCATTACTAGTAAGGACAACTATAGACCTATAGCATTGGCAAGTGTCCTGTCCAAAGTGCTGGAAAAGATATTGCTTGGTAGGTTAGAGATGTATATTCTTACTAAAGATAACCAGTTCGGTTTTAAAGCCAAACATGGCAGTGACATGTGTATATTTGCTCTGAAGGAAATCATTGCAAGTTATCGTAGCAAAAATTCTTCCTTGTTTCTTTGTTTTCTTGATGCTTCAAAAGCTTTTGATCGAATAAATCATGAAAAGCTGTTTACGAAAATGGCTGATAGAGGTATTCCTAAGTACCTGATTAGAATACTCGTGTTTTGGTATGCCCATCAAACAATGATGGCTAGATGGGGAAGTAGTGTCTCTGAACCATTCCATGTCAATAATGGAGTTAGACAAGGTGGTATTCTTTCTCCCTTTCTCTTTAACCTGTACATGGATGGTCTGTCTGACAATCTGAATGCTTGTAAAAAAGGCTGTGTAGTTGGTGGAATGGTAGTCAATCATTTAATGTATGCAGATGATCTCGTTATTATTAGCCTCTCAACTGCTGGGTTGCAGAGTTTGCTCAAGATTTGTTCTCATTATGGATATGATAATGATGTGAAATATAATGCAAAAAAGAGTCATGTTATGATAATTAGATGTAAGGAACACCGTAGATTGGTATTCCCGGATTTTTATTTGTGTGGAGCTAAACTCAATGTCTGTACAGAGGCCATGTATCTTGGTCATTTCTTTACTGAGGACCTCAGTGATGATAAAGATATTAGTCGACAGTGTCGTAAATTATATGCTCAAGGTAATATGCTTGTTACGAAATTTCATATGTGTTCTCCGGATGTGAAGGTGGCTTTATTTAGGGCATACTGTACACCTCTGTACACTGCGCATCTGTGGTGTTATTTTAAGAAGAGCAGTTTGTACAGGCTTACTGTTGCCTATAATGATGCCATGAGAATGCTTCTTAGGGTACCTAGATACTTTAGTGCTAGTCAAATGTTTGCTGAGTTGAATGTTCCAGCCTGTTCAGCTGTATAAGTTCATCCAGAGAGTGGATGTGTCTGAGAATGGTATTCTAAAGATGTTAGTGAACCCCTCGTATAGTTGTCCTAGGTACACATTGGGCCTCTGGAGATTTTGGCTGAATAGCCTGCTGACACATGGCAATTGATCATTATGTTCCTGTTACCAAGGATTCCAGTATCCTTGTTTGTCTGTTTTTTATAATAGTTATTTATTATTAGTTAATCGTTCTGGTTAGTTGAACAGAGACAGATTGTTACAAGATACAACTTCAATAGATTGTTATTGATTGTTATACATGTACTTATTTTAATCTTACAGTTACAGGTACAGCTTAGAGTTAGATTGTTATGCTGTCATCAACCTTACATACATGTACATGTATGCAGGTTACATGTTACTCTTAGAGTTTAGATTGTTTGTACATAGGCCTAGTATAGTTTAGTTATACTCTTTGTAAGATTTGTTGTTATTATACTCATCATATTTATATTCCCTATATATATATCTATGTAACATATGTTTTATGGACCTCTGCCTTGTGTAGATGAGTCTGAAATAAAGTTCTGAATTGACTCCCCAGGTGATCTTGAGAACCGAATAGTCCTATCATGGCGATCTATTATGTTAGTCAATAGTCTTACCATCTAGGTTTAAAAGATCAAAGAGAAAAGTTACCTTTAGGTACCATTGGACCTGGTGGTCCTGAGAACCAGATGGTCCTGTCATTGTGGTCTACCATGTTTTTCATTCCATCTTTGGAGTAACACTGCAGCCATTTCATGAAATCAGAGTAGTCAGAAGCTTTACCATCAGCTGTGTATCCACCAGCACCTTCAACATTGAAGAATATAAAGCACAGAATAAGTACATCAGAGGTGAAGAAGAATATACAGCACAGAATAAGCACATTATCAACACTTATCACTTTCAAAAGCATACAATATGTTGGTTTAAAACATGATACAAGAGCCTACCTATAGCAATGACCTCAAGAGGCACTGTATGACATAGATGAAGAATATCAGGTTCCTCTCCTTTCCTTTTTCCTCCCTTCATTGGTTTGACATCAGGTGGTTCTGCACTCAGTCCTTCCAACACAGTTCTTGCTTTCTCAAATGGTGGGATACCCAACCTAATTCATAATCGAAGTTCAAAGTCAAACAAACAAAGAAGTAATTGCTTCTTTCTTTTTTATGTAGTGATAATAATCACCCTAAATATCATATTTCAATCTTCATTATTTTGAAGTACACTGTATCAAAAGTTTATATTAATTTCTAGTAGTGAGGATCACATCATGCATCATATGGAGTGTTCTTTAAAATGCCGGGATGTGCGCCTTTTGGAAGTAATTTCGAGCCACTTCCGGGACTTGCATACTTCCAGTATACGTTGCATGCAGGAACACGTATTATGCATGTGCAATATATGTATCCGAAAAGCTATTTCTATATTTCTCTCTTGTGGGCTGCTACTGACTTCATTGTTTTTTTTTACAAGTCCATGATTGTTTGAGAAGAAATACTTAGGGAATCCCACTGCATGTACATCATTTTCTAATTATTCTTTTTCTAAATGCTTCTCCAAAGAAAAAAAATTGTTTATTTTTGTGTGGCCAGCACACATCAGATTCACAGTATGGCACCATATTACAACTGACAATTTAGTTTGTAAAAATAGAAAATTGCTTATGATATACTATCAAAAGAGCCGAATACTAAGGGAAGGTACATGTATACCACCATCCAACTATTTCAATGAGTATACGCTGTAGACAGCTATCTTACTTAGTGACTACTGACTACCGGCTGCCGCGCCGCTTTGCGATGGCCGAGACCGGACAGCACAGTACAGCCGCACAAAAAAGACCTGTAGCGACTAAGTCACCAAGCTATCCCAGAGTGCATTTGAAATGGGGGCATGAAACTAACATCCAAGCATTTGGGGGTTTTGGCGATAGTGAGAATTGTGCCTACAAAGTGCTGTACAGAACTTTAAAAAGTCTAATCAAGCATCATTTTGTAAAGCTTCTGATCTGAGCATGATTCATTCTGACAGAAGAGCTATAAAGTGTTGTGATGTCACACACATACCTGAAGAGAATCTCTGCTCTTAAGTAGTTCCCGATTCCATTGAAGAATTTTTGATTCAGCAAAATCTCACAGATTGGCTGACCAAAAGCAGATTTCTGCATGTTCTTCACCACATTAGACCTGGGAAAAATTAAAGTGAAGCAGTGAATGTTTGCCAAAGCACCAGGGGCGGCGATCCGGGGGGGGGGGGGGGGGCGAAGGACACGTCCCCCCCCTCGATTTTTTTTTAGGGGGGGATTTCCCCCCCCCCCCTCAAAATTTGAAAAAGTGCACACAAAAAAGTATAGCAAATACTGACTAAAGACTAAACACACTTTTAGGCTCTGGGGGGCCCAAGAGTGCAGCGTTTAAACAAATACAAATACAAAAATCTTCTCACTCTGTAGCTTAGCTCCCTCGCACAATATCTTTCAAAATGTACAAGTAAATACCAAGAAATTTGAAGGGTGAAAAAAGTATATTGCTAGGTTTATACTATAGTTTTGCTAAGGAATATAATTTTTTAATACAACAAAACTTCAAAAACCTGTGAGGGGGTAGTCAATTCCGTCACCTTCATCCCTCTCATTCACTATGCTCCCTTGCATTTGCGTACTGATGGGGGCGGGGGGCGGGGGGCTTTAGGGGCAGTTCCCCCCAAAAAGGAATTTAAATGTGGTTTATTTATAATTCGATACCAGTGATTAACAAATGTAGTAGAAATGGCATGATTTTTCCCCTGACCTTCCGGGTGCCCTGGACCCCACCAAGGGCCCTAAGGCGGCCCCTTGATGCTCATATGATCGTAATTTAATGCCTAAAACTTCTTCTGGGGGCTCTGCCCCCTGGACCCCACCCCAATAAGTGACATGCATGCCAGTGTCACAAATAAGGTATCAAAATATGCTCATCTGACCGTATTTAAATGCCTAAAACCCCTGAGCTTCAGGGGCTCAGCCCCTTGACACCCCCTGGTGCTTTGCCCCTGGCCCCCACGCCAATGTACGCTCCAATTTGCTTTGCTTTGCCCTACCTGATCATAAATTCTTTAACCCTACATACCTATTTAACTCCATTATACATGTATTTTAGTGTGGTTCTTCTATGAGCAAATCATTAAAGGGCTATGAAGAATACCACACAGATCATTATCAGTCATAAATTGCAGATATAATTACATGTACATAATACACAGAGATAACACCCTAATCTCTGTACGTGTGTGAAGTTAGCGACTGTTATCTCAGATCTCAGATAAATTTAAATTCATGTAAGTAATTCACATTATGATGATGATGAACACCACTATGGTCTCTAACTTTACTCACGCGTGCGTACCCGCACGGCCGCACTCCATCTTCGGAACGGTATGCAATTGTATTGTGCAACATGCAGCAGCAATTCAAAATCGGAGGTAAAAATAACGAAATATTAGCAAATATCTTACCAGAGCGATACAGCTCTGTGAGTGTAATATAGACCTAAAGCACGGAAGTGCCAGTCAGTGGCGCTCAAGGGGGGGGGGGGGGGGGGGGGTGTGCAAATTTTTGAGGGCCACAAAAAAAAAAAATGTGCTCACCACCCCCCCCCCCCCCCCCCCCACTGAGCGACTTTTCGGCCGGCGCGATTTCTCAAATTTTTAAATTTTCGGGAGCAAAAAGAATAAAAAATTGGGCCCCCTCCCCTGAGAAATCCTGGATCCGCGCCTGGTGCCAGTCAGAGGTCAACACCATTGTATTGAGATCATAAAGTCACACGCTACACGTGAAAAGGGTGCTAAGCTGTATTGCTCTTCTTCTGGTAAGATATTTGCTAATATTTCGTGATTTTTACCTCTGATTTTGAATAGCCGTAGGTGTTTAGGAATAGAAGCGGCATCAAATTTGCTAAGGCTACTGTCCAATATTCGTCGGGTGCGGGAAGGTGTGATTTCGAACTTATTTTAGGGTTTGTTTACATGCCTCTCCGCACATGTCTATGGCAGCCGGTTAAGGCTTGGTGATATCAATATCATACAAATATTATCACCAAGTCATTAAGGCTAGATTTTACTTTACCTTTACCCGAGATTCTGGAAGAATGCTGTGTTCTCAGCAGTCGGGCTTCCAGTTCAATTACATTTTCTTCCTTCTCGTAGTTGGGTGTCTTCTTGGTAAGTGTCTGGCTCAGTCGGGTATTCTACTCATATGGGGAGCAGAAACGCTTGTCCTTCCATACTCGATCCAGTCTGGCTTTAAAGGCATTCACCGTGGTAGCAGTGACTACCTCTTCAGGGAGTGTGTTCCAGTCATTGATGACACGTTGGCTGAATGCATCCTGTCTAATCTTCGTTGAGCATCTTTGTTTTACGATCTTTAGACTGTGGCCTCTTGTGATTCTAGTCGAGTGTTCAAAGAAGGTATCAACTGGGATGCGTTCAAGTCCATGGATGATTTTGAAAACCTGAATCATGTCGCCTCGCCGTCTGCGATATTCGAGGGAGGGAAGGTTGAGAGCCCGAAGTCTCTCTATGTAAGGACGGTTGCGGATGTCATAAATCATTTTGGTAGCTCTCTTCTGCACCCTCTCTAGGGTTTTGGAGTCTGTCTTGAAGCGAGGGTACCATATGGAATCTCCGTAATCTATGAGAGGTCTGACAAGGCCTTTGTACAGCTTTGGAATTGTGGACCTGTCTCTGCACTCAAAGCTGCGACGGATGCAGGAGAGTACTCCGTTGGCTTTCTTGACAGCATATGCCACATGGTTATGGAACTTTAGCTCGTCATCAATGAGGATGCCGAGATCTTTCTCCTCTGATGTAGCTTCAAGGACATCATCTCCAAGGGCATAGATGTGTTTGACGTTTCCTGGGCCTATGTGTAGTACTTTGCACTTTTGTGTGTTGAAGTGCATTTGCCATGTATTGCTCCATTCCATTAGTGCATCAAGGTCAGATTGGATTGAGCACAGATCATCTTTGGTGGATGCTTTGCCATACAGTTTAGTGTCGTCAGCATAGATCTTGACAGACCCTTGAAGTCCATCTGGTAGGTCATTGATGCACAAGACAAACATTGTTGGGCCGAGAACACTACCCTGCGGCACTCCGCTCCTTACTTTTGTCCAGTCAGATAATTCATCATTGACTCTAACTCTCTGGCATCTACCTTGGAGGAAGTCTGCTATCCATTCCTTAATTTGGCCACATATACCGTATGTCTCAAGTTTTGATAGAAGGCGAAGGTGAGGTACACTATCGAAAGCTTTCTTGAAGTCTAAGTATACCACATCAATAGGGGTTCCTTTATCCAGCATCTCAGTCCATGTCTCCATGACAGTCAGAAGCTGTGTCACACAAGAGCGTCCTGGAACAAAGCCATGCTGTTCATCACACAGTAGGTCATTTTCCATCAGGTGGGCAACTATCTCATCTCGAATTAGTGACTCCAGAATTTTGCATGGTACTGATGTCAAGCTGATTGGTCTGTAGTTCTTAACATCCATCTTACTGGCTTTTTTGTGGACAGGTACCACATGACCGACCTTCCATGCACTTGGTAGTTTGCCTTCCTTCAATGATGCATTGTAGATTATGGAGAGGGGCTCTGAAACTGAGGCGGCTGTTTCTTTTAGAACGCAAGGGTGAATGCCATCAGGTCCTGCACATTTGTACTTTGACAGGTGGACAAGCTTCTCATAAACATCATCTTCAGAGATTGAGATAGATGTCAATGTCTCTCCTTTGTGTCTTGGTGGGAGTTTTGGAATGTGCCCTTTATCCTCATCAGTGAATGTAGTGGCGAAAAAGGTGTTCAATGCATCCGCTTTTCCTTTATCAGTTGATATTCGTTCACCGTCCGGAGTTCTGAGTTCGCCTAGTCTGCAAGAGGTTTTGAGTTTGCTATTTGTATACCTCCAGAATGCCTTGGGATTTGATTTCACATTCATAGCCAGGTCTTTCTCAAAATTCCTACATAACTGCTTGGTCAGAGTTTGCAGCTGCTTGGCTAATCTCCTTGCTCTCATGATGTCCACAGGATGTTTGGTCCTCTGTGCCTCTTTCCAAGCTCGATGTTTCTGGCTTTGTTTCCTCAGTGCCTCTCTAGTCATCCATCTCTGTTTCTTTCTGCGGTGTTTGGGTTTTGACTTCGGTATGAACTTCTCCATTTTTTCAGTCAGGGTGACTAAAAAGAACTCCCAAGCATCCTCTACACTTTTATTCTCCAATTCAGATTCCCACTCGATTTGGTCTAGCTCTTTACACATATCATCATACTGCCCTCTGTAAAACTGGAGGTGAGGAGTTGGGGTGTGGGTGTCTGGTGTGTATACTGTAAGGCCAAAGAGGATTCCAATATGATCACTTCTTCCAATTCCAGGTACATAGTCTATGTGGTTGATCATGCCGTCCTCGTTCGTGAAAACCAGATCTAGCATACTGGAACGCTGGCCTTCTCTGTATCTGGTATGTTCCCCAATGTGTTGGTGTAGATAACAGTCAGCGACAGTTTCAATGAACTCCTGTTCAGTATGGGACCTTGCCCTTCCAAGCTTCCAATCAATGTTGGGATAGTTGAAGTCTCCTGCTATTAGGACATGGGAGGAGTTGATTGATGTGACTTGTTTAAATGCTCGTTTCAGTTCCTCATGGTTGTCTAGTGATGGGCTTCTGTACATGCATCCAATCAGTAGTTTGTCTGAGGTTCCATGACACATGCTCCGCCGACGATTGCTCCGCCGACATTTACTCTGCAAAACGCGACAATTGCTCCGCGACATTTGCTCCGCAACATTTGCTCAGACGTCAAATGCTCCGCCGACAGTTGCTCCGCCGACAATTGCTCCGCCGACAGATGCTCCGCCGACAATTGCTCCGCCGCCAATTGCTCCACCGACAATTGCTCCGCCGTCAATTGCTCCGCAAAACGCGACAATTGCTCCGCCGACATTTGCTCCGCCTGAAGCGACACTTGCTCCGCCGACATTTGCTCCGCCGACAATTGCTCCGCCGACAATTGCTCCGCCTGAAGCGACAATTGCTCCGCCGACATTTGCTCCGCCGACAATTGCTCCGCCGACAATTGCTCCGCCTGAAGTGACAATTGCTCCGCCGACATTTGCTCCGCCGACAATTGCTCCGCCTGAAGTGACAATTGCTCCGCCGACATTTGCTCCGACGACATTTGCTCCGCCCAAAAAGTGTCCCAAACTACAAATGCTACTAGTACTACGACAAATGCTTCGCCGACAATATTTTTTTTACACGGGTTATTTTCGTTTCTTTTTTTTTCTTCTTTATTTTCTGAATGCATTTCATGAAATAATGTAGATGAAATGAAATGAATGAATGTTGATGAAGTGGGAGGAAAAAGGAGTTACCTAAAAGTCATTTCGAATATACTGAAATAACTTTCCATCTATCACTGTACGTCCCATATAATGTACACTAAACACTCATTACATGTCGTGGGAAGTTTTTAAAAACAAGTAGAGCAGCAAGCCACATTCCCCAATACTCGCATACCTCCTAGTCAATTTCTGGTAATTAGTGCAATAAATGCTCAGCCGTTTTTTTGCTATTCCCCATGTTTGATTAAAAAGAGAAAATCAAATTATAGCTCCTTTATATGCAAGTTCTCCGGCGAAAGATAATTACTCCACTCAAAATCTGTTTCATGTATTACTCATTAGCTGATCCAAAGCTCAAGGCTATCTCTCTCTCTTTATCTCTTGCTCCTCCTTTTCCTTTTTACACCCTTTTCTTGTCTTCTTGGCTCTTTTCTTTCCTCTCATGCTATTAGTCTTTTTTCAATTTCATCACTTCTTCTCTTCTCCCCCTCTCGAGTTCTATTTCTCTCGTGAAATTGTAACGTAATGTAGTACATGTAGTACATTCTTGTTTAGAATAGTATTTTCAATAATATCCAGTCCGTTTTCTATAGGTTTCTTTCCTTCAGTTAAGTGTATGTAGCTTTACTATAATTATATATATATATATATATATATATATATATATATATATATTTGTGTGTAAAACACCCCGTCTCATTCGAGTACTTTGTTTTCACTGACTTTAAGGGACTCACGGAGCCACCTGAAGAAGAACAATTGGCTTATTATGAAGAACTAACATCAAACTGCAACATAATGATTTGTATAAATGGGAATAAGCAGAAAGGCTAAGAACTAAACCATAAAGATAATAAAATAACAGTGTTATTCATTTTCTTTATTCGTATCGTTTCAAATAATAATTACAAAAACTTACATCACATATTCAACCAAACAATTTCATGATGCGGATATGTTATATCATAAGTTACTATCATTTCCTGAAAGAACTTTTTTCAAAATTATCTTCATATTGTTTCAACCTAATTCTTCTACAAACTGTATAGGCCTAATTTTCATGACCGTCACATCATTTTCTACTCGGTTTATCTTCTTCTTATCTCAATCCCAATCAATTTTGTATTGGAGTTCTGGTCATCCAATTACATTTCGGAATAAACCGTTTCAAAGCATTATGAAATTAGATTAGGTGTACATAAACAAGATTTAGGGATTATCGAATCGATAATTTTGCACACGAAAGTCCGCCTCAGGCACTTGCGCTGCATGCATAAACGCGTAGTACTACAAGGGACCAAACTCAATTTGTTCTGGCATGAATGTTCAGCCAGAATCCAGCCATTTCTTGACATTACTAAATATACATGATAAAGGCCTTTGACGAGCAACTCCCTTTCAGGGAACCTTTAAAAAAAGTTATGACATTCTTCCTAACTCATAAGGGGGAAAAATGCGAAAACACACAAAAAAATCCTTTTCCCAAAACTTAAGGTTGTTTTTAACCAGTTTTTGGATATGCATTATTATGCAAGTACAAAGTAGGCCTATTTATGCGTCATTCCGAATTGTCTCAAAAACTAGGCAACACGCAAAAAGAACAGACATCCGAGATATTGATCAAAGAATCTTTTAAAAACCAAACTCGAAAACAAGAGGATTGAGCACCATACAATTAATACAATTAACATATCAAAGAATCTATGCTGATATTGCAAATATGTTCAAAAAGGATAAGAAACATTTCTCTTACTCCTGTTAACCGAACAATTGCCAAAACACTCTCAAATGGTATGCAACAGGCAGCATTATAACATAAAAACAATCCTACATATCAATTGTTGGATGGTAGATATCCTTAATAACAATCTAACAAATTACAGCTCAAACAGGAAACGTACGTTCGTCGAACTGCTCTAAAATAGAAAGATTGCAAAATAAGCTTTTAAAATTAATAGGCACCGTTAAACGGGGTGGATGAGAAAAACAAATGAAAACATGTTTTGGGTAATTTGTTTTCTTGATTATTACCCACATATTTCCAGCTTCCTGGCTATGACTATCATGCTGTGAATCATCAATCAAGTAATATATCCTCTCGGAGGGAATATGTACATTGCTTTAATGTTCTGTCTACAATTTCTTTCTCTTGACCTTCTAGATAATGATCTGATTTACATGAAGACCTCACAAGTATGGTGTTTCATAACATTCCTGAGGGAGAAAATGATTGCATTTTGAAAGGGTTATAATTTGTTTTCGCTTTAAATAATTTTTTTTTTTTTTTTTTTTTTTTTTGGGGGGGGGGGGGGGGTAAATAACCGCAAGATTATTCAAACTGTCATATGATTACATCTTATGGTAACTCTTCAAGATATAAGAAAAACATATGGTGAAAGAACAAAGAAAATGTCTAAAATAAAAACCTCGATTTACTCCCAAATAACTAAAGTGGATTTAGGTCCTTTTGCAAGAAAACTCTTCATATTCTTGGCGTATAACATACCTACATCAAGGGATTATACAGCTCCACACTACTAAGTACAATCATACTGATATTGCAAATGGCTATATATTATGGAGGTATTAAACAACTGGTAAGCCGGAGAACATTACTGAACAGCATCTCCAGAACAGACATTTTCAGGCACCTTAAGAAAGCTTAAATAATATCCGGCACACTTCGGCAAACAATATATCATATATTCTCTTACAAAATTAATCCAAAGAGAGTATAGGAATGTTCAGAGTAAAAATATCCAGTGGACATACACGGGATGTAAACTCAACATCAGAATCCTTGTTTACCGAGCTCTTCCCCCACTGTTTACTACCAAATTATGAACAACCTGGATGTTTACGATGCAAAATAAGCATTCATTTTTAAATCAAGTAGCTCTGGAGCCACATTAGAGCATATCAAAACAACAACAACAACAATAGAAAAGTAACATGACCATATACTCCACTTTCATCCACAAGAAATTCCAGTATAGATGAAGAGTGATTTTTTTTTGCAGGTCACATTCATTGGTTGGGTACAAACTATGGTGCCTGCCCATCATGATGCCAAGCTTTATTTATCCTAATGGATGGCCCAATAGCTCTGAGGAACACTTCCATATCTCCATCCGCATCGTATCGCTGGCACAGAACCTTCAGCCTGTGCTGGTGTGCCACATAGCTTCTCCTCTTCCTTCTTTTTACTGGAATTCCCAGCGCAGATTGTTGTAGTTGAGTATCTGTCAATGCCCAATCCTTTCGCAGGGCCGAGAGGAAGGACCAAAAGGGAGGATGAACACGCCCTTAAAAAGGAAAAAATACCAAGCATTATACAGTCTGAATAAACAAAGCAAAACGTAAAGTTCACGGACACCCGAACAAAAATAAAAGTTGATTAAAAGAACGTGAAGACTTGGTTTAAACCAGCATTTTTGAGCTACCTTTTGAAATGTGCAAACGTCAACTAAAATGGTATAACTTGATCTGGAGATCATTTCCATAGGCAATATCATGGGTACTGAAATCACTCTCGACCTTCTACACTCGTCCAGGCGGGTACGCAGGATTTTTTCAAGGGGGGGAGGGGGGTGGGGTTTAACATTAATAAATCGGGCCGAAAATTTCGCAACGACTCAGCCAGCCGCTGAATAAGCGGGGGGGGGGGGGGGGGGGGGGGGGGAGGTAAGAGGACACTTTTTTTTTTTTTTTTGTCCCAAAAAAAATCGCAACGACTCAGCCGACCGCTGAATAAGCGGGAGGGGGGGGGGGGGGTGGGGGGAGGAGGGTAAGAGGACACTTTTTTAGGTCATCCATGGGAGTAATTTTTTTTTTAAACCTCTGGGGGGGGGGGGGGGATTTTAGGGGGGTTTACACACATAAAAATACCAAAGGACACTTTTCTTTTTTTGTTGGTCTCGAAATTTGAAAATTTGAAAATTTTGCTCCGTTGGGGTGGGGGGGGGGGGGGTAAGGTCACCTTTTTTTAGGTCAGCCATGGGAGTAATTTTTTAAAAAAACCTCTGGGGGGAGGGTTTTTTTTAGGGGGGTTTACACACATAAAAATACCCCCCCCCCCTGCGTACGCGCCTGCACTCGTCATGCCCTTGGTGTCATCTAATCTCACTTTGTGAATAAATAATATTATGAATGCTTATTGAAGTGATCCCGACCAATACCTGCATGATGTAGTGATTATATTTTGCGCATATTTAAGTTTCTAACGAATGCAATGTTTAATCCATTATTTCTAAATGATATGTACCAACAAATTATTCTGATTAATAGATAACAAAAGGAAAACAATTTTTCTTTTTCTATGAATGGGCGCAAAAAGAAAGCATATTGACAATATTGCGATCGGAAAGTTTGATGTCGTAACGCACCGCGCTACAACTAAAACAAATGTATTCTAGAACGAGTTCGAACTTCGCGCACATCAGCTTATAATTACAAATAATTTATCTCAATATAGAGATCCAATAAAGGTAGGGCAACCAGGGGTGTCGCCAAAGGGGGTGAGGGGTGCGACACCCCCCCCCACCTGTTAGGATATTGTCGGTAAAATTGCGCTGCCGTCGGGGAAAAAAGAGAAAAGGGGGAGGGAAAAAAAGAGAGGGAAAGGGAAAGACAAGAAAAAAGAAAAGGAAAAGAAAAGAAAGAAAGGAAAGAAAGGAAAAGAAAGGAAAGAAAAGAGAAGAAAGAAAAAGAAAAAGAAAAAGAGGGAGGAGAGGAAAGAAAGGAAAAGAAAGAAAAGAAAGAAAACGAAAAAAAAGAAGAAAAAAGAGAGAAAAGGGAAACAAAAGAAACGGGGGGTGAAAGAGAGGAGAGAGAGGAGAGGTAAGAGCCTGAGAGAGGAGGAGTGGGTGTAAAAAAGAGAGGGGGGTCGTTGGGTTGAGTCGTCTCGTCGAGGGAGCAAGAAAGACACGGGTAAATATGTTGCTGTGTCGGGTCAGCTGTGTCGGTATTCTTGCTCAATCCTCGTGTAGGCCTACTATATCAATGCAGAAGTTTGAAGTCGGTGAGATGTATATTGTCGGTCGGCCGACAAGTTTTTTCCCCTTCGAACTGTGACTGTTTATCCGCTGTGTCGACTTCGAGAGGGACTGCAACTACAATACTTGTATTTTCTCGAAGTTTCACTTTCCTATAATATCAGCTAAAGAAATCAGAGGTTTAAAATTTTCGGGGAAACTAATTTCAAAAAAGGATTAAGAGTCAACAACGGTACGAAGAATCGTCTTCCTTTCTCTATATTTTGATGAAACGCCAAAAATTCCGCGCTTCGATCGGGGGGGGGGGGGGGGGACTTCATTTAGACGAATCGTAAACGGTACAACGAATCATCTGCTTTCTCTGATAATTTAAGGAAACGTCAAAGCTTCCGCGCTTCGCGCGAGAGGGAGAAACTGAATTCAGATAAATAGGGCTTATTAAGAGTCGAAAACGGTGCAACGAATCGTCTTCTTTCTCTAATAATTTAATGAAACGTCAAAACTTCCGCGCTTCGCGGGAGAACTGAATTCAGATAAGGATTAAGAGTCGAGAACAGTACACCGAATCGTCTTCTTTTCCTAATAATTTAAGGTAACGTCTAAGCTTCCGCGCTTTGCGCGGGAGGCCTATATCACCCACACCCCCAAATGAGCGCGCAAAGGTGATTCGCTTACTCACCAGCGCCCCTCCCTAAAATAAGATCCTAGCTCCGCGCCTGCATTAAAATATATAGCTATGATGCTGTCTAAGTTGACTAAATCATTCGTATATTAAAAAACAATTTAGCCTTCGGCCCCGGGTTTATAGCGCTAAATTTGTAGATATTGGGACATTTAATTTTGTCGGTAATTGGTGGCTAGTTTTGTCGGTAATCGTTGGCCTCTACACCTCCCCCTCCCCCCCCCCCCCACTGAAAAAGGTCTAGCGACGCCCCTGAGGGCAACTGCATGAACATCAAGGCAAAATACCATAGAATAAGGGAGTTTACAGATACAATATACGCATGGGTAGATAAAGGTCATTTGTACCAAAATGGTAAAACCCACAGAGATGAATACTGGAAATGCGCTCAAGAAAGTTATGTAATATTATTCATTTATGCAACAACGGTACATTCTATGATACGCAGGTGGAAGTATTCTTTTCAAGAGGTCAAACAAAAGGTATTCATGAAGCACATCTAGGATTTTGCAGTTATTATTCTAAGATGCTCAAAGTGGAACTTCTCCATGTGTAAAAGATCTGTGGATATTTGGGGTCATTTGTACCATGTGCTATCTGTAAACTCCCTTATTATTTGATACTTTGATTTTGATTACAAGTTTCTTGACATCTTCTTTCATGCTTATGTTCATGCTCATGGTCATGCTCATGTCTTTCCCATTTTCAAATAAAATTGCGTCCTGAGGTAATTCTGCGTGCGTCCTGAGGTAATTCTGCGTTCCTCTATCCATTGGTGCTATTTGGTTTTGAAATAATTTCTAGGTTTTGAGATATACCTTGTGCATGAATATTTATCTATTTGACACGTTATAATGTGCATTGCATAGAATTTTAATTTAGGGAAATAAAAGCTACATACCGATGAGATTACGGAAGGCGTTGTTCCACCCTTCGCACACATTGTTTGTCCTATCCGCATCATGGATAGTGATTTGGTGGACGCGTTCCACGCTTGGGGGGGGGGGGGGGGAATCGTGGCGGTGTTAAGTGTCCGTCCGCTCTTAACGTCCCGGTGACATATGTCCTGTCGAAGTAATCTACCACAGGCTGAAGGGCAGGGGTGGGCATGATGCGCCTCAGGAATTCCATGCCTCGCACCACGTCTTGAGGAGGTAGGAAGGCCAAACCGTCCATCATCCCAAGGTAGGTGCGGACTCCCTCATCTGTTGACAAGATATGAACAAACATTTCTCATTTATAAGCAAATTACAGTACTGCTTTGTGACTTGAACTTAGAAGACAATCCAATATTTTGTTACTCATCTAGTTGATTTGTCTTCAAGTTGAAAAAAGAGGAGGGAATGGTAAAGGTTGTAATACTTGAAAGGTTCAGACATTTAAAAAAACTATGATAATATACAATGATCTCTCAATTTAGTTTCTTAATTGTGATATGTAAAGTATGGCCAGATCCCAGTTGTTATACATGTACACTAAACATATATTCTTTATCTTAAGATTCTTTTCCCAAGAGTCAGAACTAAAACTACATCATTGATAACACATTGTAACTGACAGGCCTAGGACCTACTTTTCCCCATAATTTCGAAGAGGGAACTTTGTGTTAAGTTTTGATATGCATGCGCATAGCTGGTCGCAGTAAACCCCCCCCCCCCCCCTCCCCCCCCCCAAAAAAAAAAAAAAAAACGAAACATGACAAGAAACGTCAAGCTTCACCTCCCAAAAGCTGCCCTATTACAATATCGCAACTTTGTGAACGTATCTGATGTGAACGTGAATGTTTACCTTGCAAATATAACCCTCTGAGGCCATTGTCAGCTACCCTCTTCCAAGTTCGTTGGGTGAGATGGAAAAAAACATCCGTGTAGCTGAACTGCATTTCCCAAACAAAACTGGACCGCACTCCTAGCGGCCTCTTCAAAATCGGTCACGATTGTCCTAGGTGCGTGTGCATCATGCCCTCTATCAATGAGGGCTTCCATCAGAGCGTTGAAGAGCCTGATATAAAGAGCCCGAGTCTTTCCTGACATCAGTGCATAAACACAAGATACTGCGCCTTCGTCAACTTCTGCTCTGATGCAGTATACCTGCAATTTTAATGAAAATGGACTTCATTTTATAAACAATACATGAAAATGGAGTAGAGGAATAATTATGAGAAAACTAGTGAGCATGACACAGATTTTAAGAATTTATACTAGTCTGGTGTTCATAATGTACACGTGTACAGGCGTGTTAATATGGTCATAGCTGGAGGGTAGGGGGGGGGGGGCAAACATTCCTGGGGACCTCAACAAATGATTACTACCAGCATACAGCCCTAGCCCCCTCCGAACAAGCATATTTTTTCCCATCTTTATATGTTATAAGTGCAAGGTCTAGAATTTTCTTTAAATAAATACAAAAAAGGAAAGTAGCTTCACTAGGCAAAGTAGACCTATTAACACTCCACATAACAGATTACAATACTAAAACGGAGGAGGGGTATGAATATAGCAAGGAATAAAGAAAAACATTTGAAGAGTTTTTCTTTCTTTTTCATTTCCCCCATTCTCCCCTTCTGTCTTTGAGCCCCCCCCCCCGTCTGTCTCCCCACTTGTGTGTCCGTCATGGAATATCAACTTTTGAATGGCATGTGGTAATTAATCTGTATTAATCTTGTGTTAATATATTCTTCGTATAGTGCATCTTCCTCTTTCTCACAAATGCCCTCTTCACCTTCTGATAAGTGCCCCTTTTAAGCTGAGATAAAAGCCCTATTTCGTCTGATTACTTTCCGTTCTTACAGTGCCACTTTTCATCACCGAATAGTTCATCTTTTGAAGTGCCCCCTAATATGATCTGTGAACCCTTTTCCTTTCTGATATTATTTTCCCTTTTGATAATTTCCCCTTTTCCCTATATATCCCGATGTCAAATTGTGCTCTAGAGTAAACAAAGGAGGCGACCACCTCCAGATGACTAGAGAGGCTTGATAACAGATTCCCCTACTAGAATCAGCACAAAGTGCAGCAGTGGAGCAGGGCGCAGTCCTGAGTAGAAAGGACACAATACCCTAGACTATACCACAGGGGCGGCAATTTCTTTTCATGACCAGGAGAACGAAATGCGAGGGACGAAGGAACAGTGGCGTAATGAACAAAAACGTTTGGGGGGAGAAGAACAAAAACCGCATCACCACCACTCTTACATTTTACGCAGGCCCTGGGAACGTTTTTCCAAGTGGGAGGGGTGGGGGGGGGGGGGTGCTAAAGTATTTACGATCAGGTAGAGCAAAACAAAGCAAAGTGGAGCGTAAATTGGGTGTCAAGGGGCAGAACCTCAAGAAGCTCAGCGGATTTAGGCATTTTTTAAGGTCAGATGAGCATATTTTAATAGCTTATTTGTGATACTGGCATGGAGGTCACTTATTGGAGTGTGGTCCATGGGGCGGAGCCCCCGGAAGCTTAGGGGTTTTAGGCATTAAATTGTGATCAGGGGCCGCCTTAGGGCCCTTAGTGGGGTCCAGGGGGCAGAGCTCCCGAAAGCTCAGGGAAAAATCATGCCATTTCAACAACATTTGTAAATCACTGGTATCGAATTAAAAATAAACTACGTTATAATTTAATTTCGGGGACAACTGCCCCCAATGCTCCCGCACGTGTAAGCAAGTGCGAGGGAGCATAGTGAATGAGAGGTGTGAAGGTGACGGAAGTGACTACCCCCTCACAGGTTTTTGAAGTTTTGTTGTATTAAAAAATTACATTCCTTAGCAAAACTATAGTATAAAAACAAGCAATATACTTTTTTCACAGTTCAATTTTCTCTGTATTTACTTGTACATTTTGAAGGATATTATGCAAGGGAGCGTAGCTACCGAGTAAGAAGATTTGTGCATTTTTATTTGTCTAAACGCTGCACTCTTGGGCCCTCCAGAGCCTAAAAGTGTGTTGCAGTCTAGTCAGTATTTGCTATACATTTGTTTGTGTGCACTTTTTCAAATTTTGAAAAAATTGAAGGGGTCGTAACTCCCCTCCCCCCGTCCCCCGGATCGCCGCCCCTGCTATACCATATTTAACAGTGCCCCTTAATCACTAAAGGAGTGTGGAGAAAAAAATAGGTAGGTTTTTACAAAGCTCGCTCGCATTTACTAGATACTATATTATCTTATCATATAAGGCAAATCTTTGTACAACACCATAGCCTTCAGTGTTAGAAAACCTTTACAAAATAAGCTTGCTCGGTTGGCTCGCAAATTAATATCAGATCATTACCATGCAGATATTTATCTGGAACCATGTGGAGATGACGAAAATGATCCCCGATTAATCAGATGCGGCGATATGATGTCTCAAAGTGGTATTGTCCGCCTTGTTTTCACCCTTTGGAAGTGCCCATGTTAAAAAGTGCCCCTATTTTGGTGCCCCTACACAGACGCTCTGCCGCCCCTGGTCTTGTTTGTTGCTCGGACAGGATGCCAGTATAGACAGATTCGTTTAATAAATCATGGAAATGCAAGCATCACATTACACCAACAGAACTTTTATTATCCCTAGTTCATTTTTTTCCGAATAGGGTGTCATGCGAATACTGATGACAGGGCAGAAAATGAATTCTCTAGAAACATGAGAAACGTGATGATCTCTATGAAATTGAGATATCGTTGGCCGAATGACTTTTAGGTAGCCTGCTTCACTTGGTCTTTATTCACTCTCGTGTGAAGTATGTATCAAATGAGAGGCATCAACATGAAATAAGATGATCCAAGAGTCAGCTGGATACAAGTAATGTGAATAGTCGTAATTCTAATCAGAAATGACTGGGATCTAGTCAAAATACGACTAGAATCAGTAAGAAGAAACTGTAGAATAATAGTTGCACCCAGCCGAGGTAGACCCTTTCGGTCTAGTCACAATAGTTTCTCTATTTTTCGCGCCGAAACTTTGACATTTCATTAAAATTATTAGAGAAAGAAGACGATTCATTGTACCGCTCTCGACTTTTAATCCTTGTCTGAATTCAGTCCCTCCACCCTCCTACGCGTAGCGCGGAAGCTTTGACGTTTCATTAAATTGTTAAAAGAAAGAAGACGATTCGTTGTACCGACTCTTAATCATTGTCTGAATTTTCAAAAATGTTTCGTTGTCCGACAAAAAGTCACAGTTCATAGGGAAAGAAAAGCCGGCCGACCGGTATATTACATATCACCGACTTCAATCTTCTGCATTTGTATAGTACACGAGGATCGAGCAACAATACAGACACAGCAACATAATTTTCTATGCGTATCTTTCTTGCTCCCTAGGCCGACGCGGCGACTTCACCCAACATCCCCTCTCTTTCTTACTCCCACCCCTCTTCTCTCAGGATCTTACCCCTCTCTCTGCTCTCTTTCACCCCCGTTTCTTTTGTTTCCTTTGTTTCCCTTTTCTCTTTTTTTTTCTCTTTCTTTTCTTTCTTTTCCTTTCTTTCCTTTCGTTCCTCTTTTTTTTCTCTTTCTTTCTTCTCTTCTCTTTCCTTTCTTTCTTCTCTTCTCTTTCCTTTCTTTTCTTTCCCTTTCCCTCTCATTTTCCCCGACAGCAGCGCAATTTCACCGACAATGTCCTGACAGGGGGGGGGGGGGGGGTGTGTCACACCCCCTCATACCCCTCCCCTTTTAGTGACGCCCCTGGTTAGAGAGGATAGGGCACCGAAATTTTTTTTGAGGGGGGGGGGGTATAGAAAGAGTCATGTCTTTGCTTCTTTACTACATGCATGCATACCTGTGTGAAAATAGCGGGTGCTCTGGAAAAGGTGCCATCCATGTACCACGTGCTAGCAACGGCGAGACGTCGTAGTTGGGAATCAGTGGCAAACAATATCAGCCTGTCTTGCCCCGGCCCGGAATCATAGAGGAGAAAACGCTGTCCTTCTACATCACCGGTCAGTGTCCATTCGTCAGGAATCTCCAAGGTTTCTTTTGATTCGGGTTCTGCCGGGTATGCAGCTCGTCTGGAAAAAAAGTAAAAGATCAACAGATAAACAATCAAAATTTCTGTCATTTCGCTTGGTGTTTTTAAGTCTAGCTGTATATCAAAATGAGAGAAGGGGAGATTAACATTGTTTTGAGAGAAAAGACATCCATCATAGCGCGGCTTTAAAAAGCTGATTACCTTAAATAAAAAATAAAAAAGTTCAATTCAAATATCATAACCTAGTACAGTATATTAAGTATCTAAACACCTCTGTAGCCCCGCCCCTGACTGACACTCATGATGTTTGCCAAAACAGAACAGGCACGAAACTACATTATACGTAGGATCCCTGATAAATAGGCCTGCTGGTGGGACCTGAACGGGGTGAGTGGGGTATCCCTCCCAAGATGACTCCGTCAAATTAAATTGATATATAAAACTAACATATTAATTCGGCTTATAATGTGATTTTGTATTGTAAATAATGATAATTCTCCATAAAGTGTCAACATTTGTGATTGCTTTAATAATATTTTAGAAAACTACATGGGGTATGGACTATGTTGCGTGTTAACTAGTAATCCCACATAATTCCCTTTTTTAATTAAACTACTAAAAAGCAGTATCCCTCCAGACAAGAAAACACTTAATAAATGATCACATCCAGACAAATTGATTATGGTTAAAAACTGGTTCTATATTCTATAATTTCACATAAGATACAATGATTACAGAATTATCAGAAACCTCTTCTGTCTATCTCAACAGTGACAGACAATTAAACTATCACTAGGCCCTTGGTAGTTACTATTAATAATCAAACATAGATAACTTCCAACAGCACATTAATGTAAAGGAGACTCAACTTAGTCACTATGGTATTAATGATTACCGCTGAATACAAGTCTCGAAATATCAGGAGTCTAGCTGTTCAGTACAACTTAAAACAGTACTAAAACAAGTCAGTTAAATATCATTCACACTGCATGAATAATAACAGTCAAGAAAATACTACTCAAATCTAAGCTAGACAGCGTTTAGATTTACTTACATAGGCACGAAATATTGTGGTTCAAGAAACCGCTAAACAAATCTCTACTTGTGTATGTGTACGGAATGCACAACACGAGGATACAACAATATATCGGTGGATCTAGACTATAGCAGATCTAGATCAGTAGACCAGGCATAGGCCTAGAACTAGTGCAATTATAAACATGTAAAATATGTGTTAGTAAGCGTACGCACTCAACAACAGGCACTCAGTCAGTCAAAATAAGGCCTCACAATGATAAACAATGCAAAGCATAAATCACAATATAATTAACGTTACGTGAGTCATTGGAGTTGAATTCAAAGTAGATCTTCTTCAAGTTCTAGGTAGATGTAGAAACTAGCTAGGCCTAGTCGAAAACAGTGGTCGACGAGCTGGTTGTCGATCGCGTAGGATATGCAGACGATGATCGACGCTAGGTGAATACCACGATGATGAAGACGATGTTGAAGACAACGATGATGACAACAATGATGAAGACGACGCTGGTGAAGACAGCGATGATGAAGTCGACGATGAAGACGACGCTGGTGAAGACAGCGATGATGAAGACAACGGTGATGAAGACAACGATGATGAATCAGTTAACAGATGAATACAATGATGATGCAGTCAATGTCAATAGATCAACTTCAGTGACTTGCGATGCAGGTCGAAGAATCAAATGTCGAGACAATATATATGAAGTCGATGATAAAAGGTTGTCAAACAATAATGCAGGTGAGAAAAACGTTAGATCATATTAAATGTTCTATTCTCACTGCTGGTGAATTAAAGTGTCGTCAATGTTGAACATCGAGAGAGTCAAAATATATCTTGCAAAACGTACAAGATGTAAATAGGTGAGCACGTCCACCGGGAATGGTCCGGGGACGTAGCAGTTCAATCCTCGTTGGATACAATCTTCTAGGTACAAATATCAACACAATAACAGCATGTGTGTATACCAATATTAAAACAGCTCACTGATTCCCGCACAGGAAAATCAGAAGAGCGCCAATCAACTACAGCGCGATTGGTTCAAAACAAGCGCACATGTATGTTAATAAGGCACGTGATCTAAATACTTATGAATAAATACGCGTACATCTATGTTAATTGGTCATGTGATCAAAATACTAATGAATAAACATCGTTATATAATAAATCGAGTTAAAACCAGTTCTGAGGACATGGCGTAATACCAAATCCTCGAACTCTCAATGACTTCTAAAGCGGCCATTTTGGATTAAAAACACAATATGTATACCAGTGAATTATAAATGAATGCACTGTAACATTTGTCGCTACAATATTAAAAACAACTTTTCATTGAAGGAGATTTTAAAGAGTTTTTTAAGGACGGTGTGTGGTTATCCATCGCCCCAAATGGTAGGGGTGGGGAGTTTAGATGCAGCAGATACAATTATTTTATTCATACCTCTGTCTTTGGACGTCCCTCCTAAGGGCTGACAGCTGTCCCAACTGCCCTCGAATCTCCGGGTGCGCTACCATGAGGGCGTTAGCAACTATTTCGGTTGTCGGGCCACTGTTGACATCCCTCGCGGTTCTCTTTAGGCCTGCCCGCGCTGCTATGACCCTTGTTCTATCCTGATCAGGTTCGTGGTTATGGGGCGTCGCCGCCATAACTCCCCCATATTGAGGGGGGCCATTCGTTGTTATTGCCCCACTGCATGCTTTGGATCGTTGTCTCTCGCACTGCCATCTAACTTTCCCGTCTAAATGGGTCCTCTTCTTAACGTATGCGTGTCCTTCAAAGCTGATTTTTATCCCTCCCCTGTTATTTTCTAGAACTTCCATGACTTTACTTGCAGACGAGTAAGATGCATGTGCTTGCTTGCATTGAGTTTTATTTCAGGTCTTACATATTGATGAGCTGTTTGAAATTAACTAGGAGGTATGCGCGTATTGGGGAATGTGGCTTGCTGCTCTACTTTTTTTAAAAAACTTCCCACGACATGTAATGAGGGTTTAGTGTACATTATATGGGACGTACAGTGATAGATGGAAAGTTATTTCAGTATATTCGAAATGACTTTTAGGTAACTCCTTTTTCTTCCCACTTCATCAACATTCATTCATTTCATTTCATCTACATTATTTCATGAAATGCATTCAGAAAATGAAGAAGAAAAAAAAAGAAACGAAAATAACCCGTGTAAAAAAAATATTGTCGGGGAAGCATTTGTCGTAGTACTAGTAGCATTTGTAGTTTGGGACACTTTTTGGGCGGAGCAAATGTCGGCGGAGCAATTGTCGGCGGAGCAAATGTCGGCGGAGCAAATGTCGGCGGAGCAATTGTCGCTTCAGGCGGAGCAAGTGTCGCTTCAGGCGGAGCAAATGTCGGCGGAGCAATTGTCGCGTTTTGCGGAGCAATTGACGGCGGAGCAATTGTCGGCGGAGCAATTGTTGGCGGAGCATCTGTCGGCGGAGCAATTGTCGGCGGAGCAACTGTCGGCGGAGCAACTGTCGGCGGAGCAACTGTCGGCGGAGCATTTGACGTCGGAGCAAATGTCGCGGAGCAAATGTCGCGGAGCAATTGTCGCGTTTTGCGGAGTAAATGTCGGCGGAGCAATCGTCGGCGGAGCATGTGTCGGGTTACCTTGTCTGAGCCTCTTAGAGTAATTAAGATCCACACTGACTCATGGAAACTGTGCTGCAAATCACATTCACCGACAAGGTGGTAAAGATCTCTTGCGATATAAATTGCAACTCCTCTATTTCCATCCTCCAGATTGCAGTGCAAATCATATCCCTCTAAAATTAAAATTAAAAATAAACTAATACAAAATCTAACGTTTCAATCCATAAAACAACATTTTGCTTAGACCGAAAGCTTCAGTCTCTGATATTGACGGTTGTTCTGCTGAGATTGCATCTGGCTCTTCTGACCACCTCTATGCCTATGGGAATGTCAACAAATGTCAGTTTTATTAAAGAATGACCCATAGTCCATACCTAGATCTATACCAGACGGTAAAACTTGAAAAAACACAAAATATTTACCTGAATGCCTGATATTCAAACATTGGATCCGGACCACGATTTTTAGACCAGTCTGCATCAACCTCCCACCGTCCAAACCTGCGAACATCAACATAACTTAAAACCATCAGAGGTTTATCCTTCGTGTAGAATTTCAAATGAGAATGTTTGTGAATATCACTTGGTGTGGTGAATTGAAAGTTCCCCGACATCCCGAAACGGAAAAGGATTTTCAGTGTCTCTGGAGGTTCCATGACACATGCTCCGCCGACGATTGCTCCGCCGACATTTACTCCGCAAAACGCGACAATTGCTCCGCGACATTTGCTCCGCGACATTTGCTCCGACGTCAAATGCTCCGCCGACAGGTGCTCCGCCGACAGTTGCTCCGCCGACAGTTGCTCCGCCGACAATTGCTCCGCCGACAGATGCTCCGCCGACAATTGCTCCTCCGACAATTGCTCCGCCGACAATTGCTCCGCCGTCAATTGCTCCGCAAAACGCGACAATTGTTCCGCCGACATTTGCTCCGCCGACATTTGCTCCGCCTGAAGCGACACTTGCTCCGCCGACATTTGCTCCGCCGACATTTGCTCCGCCGACATTTGCTCCGCCGTCAATTGCTCCGCCGACATTTGCTCCGCCGTCAATTGCTCCGCCGACAATTGCTCCGCCTGAAGCGACAATTGCTCCGGTGACATATGCTCCGCCGACAATTGCTCCGACGACATTTGCTCCGCCGACAATTGCTCCGCCGACAATTGCTCCGCCGACAATTGCTCCGTCGACAATTGCTCCGCCGACAATTGCTCCGCCTGAAGCGACAATTGCTCCGGTGACATTTGCTCCGCCGACAATTGCTCCGACGACATTTGCTCCGCATGAAGCGACACTTGCTCCGGTGACATTTGCTCCGACGACATTTGCTCCGCCCAAAAAGTGTCCCATTAAATTCAAATGCTACTAGTACTACGACAAATGCTTCGCCGACAATATTTTTTTTTCACGGGTTGTTTTTGTTTCTTTCTTTTTTTCTTCATTTTTTGAATGCATTTCATGACATTATGTAAATGAAATGAAATGAATGAATGTTGATAATGTGGGAGGAAAAAGCAGTTGCCTAAAAGTCATTTCGAATATACTGAAATAACTTTCCATCTATCACTGTACGTCCCACATAATGTACACTAAACACTCATTACATGTCATGGGAAGTTTTTTTTTTTAAAGTAGAGCAGCAAGCCACATTCCCCAATACGCGCATACCTCCTAGTTAATTTCAAACAGCTCATCAATATGTAAGACCTGAAATTACCTCAATGAAAGAAGACTAATAACATGAGAGGAAAGAAAAGAGCAAAAAAGACAACCGTTTTTTGCTATTCCCCATAATGTTTGATTTAAAAAAATAAAAAATAAAATTATAGCTCCTTACGCAAGTTCTCCGGCGAAAGATAATTACTCCGCTCAAAATCTGTTTCATGTATTACTCATTAGCTGATCCAAAGCTCAAGGCTATCTCTCTCTCTCTCTCTCTCTCTCTTTCTCTCTCTCCCATGCTCCTCCTTTTCCTGTTTACACCGTTTTCTTGTCTTCTTTGCTCTTTTCTTTCCTCTCATGCTATTAGTCTTCTTTCATTTCCATCACTTCTTCTCTGCTCCCCCTCTCGAGTTCTATTTCTCTCGTGAAATTGAAACGTAAAGTAATACAATCATGTAGTACATTCTTGTTTAGAATAATATTTTCAATAATATCCAGTCCATTTTCTAAAGGTTTCTTTCCTTTAGTTAAGTGTATGTAGCTTTAATATATATATGTTAGTGTGCAAAACACTCCGTTTCATTCGAGTACTTTGTTTTCACTAAATAATTTAAGGGACTCACGAAGCCACCGGAAGAAGAGCAATTGGCTTATCATGAAGAACTAACATCAAACTGCAACAAAATGATTTGTATAAATGTGAATAAGCAGAAAGGCTGCCATCTCATTTTCCCGTCTGAATGGGTTCTCTTCCTTACGTATATAAGTGCCCTTATTTTCTAAACTTTTTTTTTATATTTGTGTGTTTATTAAATTTTCAATCATATAAAAATTACATATTTACAAGTCATTGGTAATAATTAGACAAACAAAAAAACCAATATGTATAAGAACAACTAACAATAATGAAAGGACAAGAAAGTTATAAAAAAAAAACATTATAGTAAAAAAAAATACACTGTACACATATAAATCATAGTTTGAACTCAAGTGCATAAAGGGGAGTGAGGGGGCACAGGAATAAAAGTTAAATCAACATGAGTACCATAAGTCAAATCGCCATTTCTTAAAATGCGAAACAAGCTTGTTCCTTTTTTTCGCTGAGAAATATTCAATATCTTTTTGTTTCTTTATAAAACTCTTAAAAAGATCAACACTTGGTAAATCCCCCTTACTTATTTTCTAAACTTCCATGATGACCTATTACATTGTATAATGCTTTACCTAGTAAGATGCATTGATCGAGGTAATTTCAGGTATTACATATTGATGAGCTACTTGAAATTAACTAGGAGGTATGCGCGTATTGGGGAATGTGGCTTGCTGCTCTACTTTTTTTTAAAAACTTCCCACGACATGTAATGAGTGTTTAGTATACATTATAAGGGACGTACAGTGATAGATGGAAAGTTATTTCAGTATATTCGAAATGACTTTTAGGTAACTCCTTTTTCCTCCCACTTCATCAACATTCATTCATTTCATTTCATCTACATTATTTCAAGAAATGCATTCAGAAAATGAAGAAGAAAAAAAGAAACGAAAAAAATAGGTGTAAAGAAAATATTGTCGGCGAAGCATTTGTCGTAGTACTAGTAGCATTTGTAGTTTATGGGACACTTTTTGGGCGGAGCAAATGTCGTCGGAGCAAATGTCGGCGGAGCAATTGTCGCTTCAGGCGGAGCAATTGTCGGCGGAGCAATTGTCGGCGGAGCAAATGTCGGTGGAGCAAATGTCGGCGGAGCAAATGTCGGCGGAGCAATTGTCGGCGGAGCAATTGTCGGCGGAGCAAATGTCGGCGGAGCAATTGTCGCTTCAGGCGGAGCAAATGTCGGCGGAGCAATTGTCGCTTCAGGCGGAGCAATTGTCGGCGGAGCAATTGTCGGCGGAGCAATTGTCGGCGGAGCATCTGTCGGCGGAGCAATTGTCGGCGGAGCAACTGTCGGCGGAGCAACTGTCGGCGGAGCATTTGACGTCGGAGCAAATGTCGCGGAGCAAATGTCGCGGAGCAATTGTCGCGTTTTGCGGAGTAAATGTCGGCGGAGCAATCGTCGGCGGAGCATGTGTCGGGTTACCTCTCTGGAATGTTCACTTTTTTGCTATCTTTCTCGTCCTGGGCGGTGCCATTGTTTTTCTTTTGATAAGGTTTCCTTCTCGTGTCGCCTTCGCCATGGCCATTTTCATGTATACTGTCATGACTGTCGAGCTTTGTTAGTATCAGTTGCATCTCCTTGCCACGCGAAGCCGCGGAGATAGTGTATGCTGGCGCATCGAACTCAATGTCGCTGCTCTTGTGTACAGGGTTTTTCACAATCTCCCCGCTGAAAATACGACCTCGACAGGATTCATTTACAAATTTACTGGCCAAATGGAGTTCAGGACCTTCTGGCATGGTGAAATCCTCTCTTGTGGCTTGGTATATATAATTATGAAATGGCAGGCAGCCGGAGCTGAGGGCAACTGTACAGTGCGGCGCCGTTTACTAAACTCTCATATCCCTGAGCTGAGCTAACTTTACCTCGTGTGATTGTTTATGTTGCATAATGTGCTTGACGAAAGTATGGAAAGCCATAAGAGTTCCATCATTTTTAAGATGAAGGATAAAACCAAAAGTAATGAAGTGGGGGAACAGCATATGTTGCCCTTGATACCCATCGAGTGACCCGACGTTATCAAAGATGTATTGAATTCTTAATAACCCTCTATTACTATCCTTTAAGCCCTCCCTCAGTTTCTTTGAAGACAGCTCCCATCAGGTTGCCTTGACAAGTTGTTGCACTAGCTTTCCATAAGCCAGATGTTACAAAGCTATGCACGATGGCTGCTTCTGAAAGGACGACAAATGGCGAGCTAGATCTGCCGGATTTTACAACGGAAAGCTATTGGGATGAAAGATTTAAAGAGGAGGAAACATACGACTGGTTACTAAAGTATCATCAATTCAGTCATTTTGTGGAGAAACATGTGAATAGAAATGAGAGGATACTTATGTTAGGTAAGACTTGGACCGAAAATGTCTCTTTCGTTCGTTAGCCTCTCACTACCGGTACCGGTATGGTATAGGGTCGGCTCCTCTCTATAGTACCGCCCGGCCACTCAGTGTACGCATATGCTCGTACCCTCTTTTTGAAAGCACCCCCTATCTGAGGACTGCCAACATTTCCGAACCCCCCTTTCGCGGGCTTTTCGCGGGCTTTTCCTGCCTTGGAGACCCCCCTAAATCAGGAAAAATGCTCAATGTACCCCCCTAAATTCGGAATAATTTCTCAGGAGTCCAAAGAGATGAGAGAAAAAAAGAAAAACACCCCCTTTTTAAAGAAATCTCCGGGTGAAAAGTCAAATACACCCCTTTTTTTACAATTCTCGGGCCGGACTTTGTCGCACGAAAAGTACCCCTTTACCGGACATTTTGGCAACACGCATGCGGTCATTCCGACCTCTGAGTGGGGGGGCCGGGTAGTACCGTAAGTTGGGAATCCCAGACAACTCGCCACAAAGACAACGTACCGCCACAAAGACAACCCGCCACAATACCCCGGACATCCCGCCACAATACCCTGGACATCCCGCCACAGCCTTTTCGGACAACTCGCCACACTTTTTTCCCCTCATGATTTCTAGATCTAAAATCCCTTAGAATCTTAGATGAAATTGTCATTTTTCATGATTTTCGTGCTTTTATAAACACAGTTATGACAGGAAACATGGAAATTGTGAGTATTTTGAGAGCTGTTCTAAAGAATAAAGATGATTTTCCTTGCGCTTGCAACAAGAATCTATTTTGGACGAACCCAAGCCAGGCGGACGACTACGAGTTACGACTACGATCGCCGTATACTATAATTTCTCGATTTTTAAGTTCATGTCTCAGGAAACTTTTTAATGGTAGGAATATGCTGCTATGTATAATTCTTTGGCGTATCTTTACATTCTAATATTACCTTTTTTAAAGTTAAAGTTAATGCACTTCTCCTTCCTTTTTTTTCTTCTTCTTGGTGTTCAGGTTCCCTCTGCTTTAATTCCCTTTCCCTTTTTTTCTTTTCTCAACAATACAGTATATACTTGCTAAGGGATTGACGCTAATAAGGCTAATTGCCCTTTTTGTTAATCCCACATTTTTCTTGTAATCAATCTTTTATCTGATAAGATAAAATTTCATTTGACTCTATGGACCCATTTCAGGGGTATGATAGCACCACATATTTACAACACAATACAGAAAAATATATAAAACAAAGTAAGATATGATAATAAAATACATAGACATGATATAGGGTATACATTTTTATATTTCTATAGACAATAAACATGAGCTAAAGACTAAGTATACCCTACATACAGTTTAAAGCTATAAGTCTAAAATATCATGTGGTTTGGTTTGTCTACCACTACGAGTAGGCCTATTACACTTTTGGTAACAAAAATAGGACCACGCCTAATTCAGCATTATGATCCAACAAAAAGAATTGTATTATAAGTGTTATGAATTTTACGAGTTTTCTTAATTGCTTAACGCTAGATATACCATGTTTGTATGTTTTAATGTTTTTTTTAATGGAGAATGATATCAAATGAATTGAATTGAATGGAACGTTCCATATCCTCTCGATCTCTATCCTGAGGTCTTCATACTTGAGACGTCTTTCTTTAACGGCGATGTTGATGTCATGGGGAACGATGACCTCGATGATATTTACTTTGTTGTTGTCCCTGAAGACAATGTCTGGATTCTTGCAGTTATTATTAGTACTTTTTATTATTGTTGTTGTCGTCATCATCATCACCGTCATCGTTAAATTGTAATCATCATCATCATTATTATTATTATTATTAGTAGTAGTAGTAGTAGTAGTCAAATGAAGTAGTAGTAGTATTAGTATAGTAGCAGTATAGTAGAGTAGTACTATATTTCAGTGGGGAATATATTGTTGTCACTGCCAGGATTACCAAAGAGGCCGGGACGAGCATTCCTGACATCGCAACCAGTTTTGCGCGCCGGAAGCACTTTGGGATTGGGTTGGGTGGGGGTGGGGAATATTCCAGGGGGCTCACCCTCCAGGGGCAGTGGCGTAATGCGCAAAAACGTTTTTGGGGCAGAAGAAAAATCTGCATCGCCACCACTCTTACACGTAACATGCAGGCCCCTGGCGGAACGTTTTTTGAAGTAGAGTATCAACAATCTGGTAGAGCGTATAGCGAGCAAAGTGAGTTGATAGCTCGAGCGCAAATTGACGTGGAGTGGGGTCCAGGGGTCAAGGGGTGGAGCCCCCAGAAGCTCATGGGTTTTAGGTATGTATACTTACGGTCCGATGAGCATCCATGGGCCCACGTTAGGGCCCTTAGTGGGGTCCAGAGGACGGAGCCCCTGTAAGCTCAGGGGATTTAGGCATTTAATTACGCCAAGATGAGCATATTTTGATACATCACTGTAGCAGGCCACTCGTTCTTTCTTCCTCTTTCTCTTTAACACACTATTTCAAAAAGTGCAGGCCCTGACATAAAGGCTTCAAAATAAGCATATTTGTTGGTTGCCTGATTGTAATTTTTCCAACAAATGCATAAAAAGATATAATTATTTAAAAAAATGAGAATAAATCCCTGAAAACCATGTCTTTTCAGCAACAATTGTAAATCACTGGTATCGAATTAGAAATAAACCACTTTGTATTTTTATTTGGGGAGCAACTGCCCCCCCCCCATCAGTGTTCAGGAGGGGCTCATGTCTTCTCACCCTTATAATAAAAAATACACACATGCTTTCCCATCCTCTCACAATAAATTTCAAGGATACATATGCGCGTATCGCTATTATAAAATCCTCCATTGATGAATATAGGGGCATGCGGAATGTTTAGGAAATTTTAATTCCAGTTCACTTTCCTTTTCTTTGAATGGAATATCATTTTAATTTGATTCAATTTAGGTTTTATTATTTTTGTATGTTACTAAATAGTAATCAATTATACTGCTTTATTGCTGATTTTTTTTTTTTTTTTTTTTTTTTTTTTTTTTGGGGGGGGGGGGGGGTGGAAATTCGTTTTGACCCCCACCCCCCCCCCACACACACACTTTTTCGTTTGGAGGAGGGCGAGTCCCCTGCCCCCACTTCTGGCGCCTATGATCGCAAGAATGGCTGGATTTCTGAAAAAGGGGCACCTACAAAGGGACACATCAACAATAATAAAAACCATTTTTAGATATTTGTATAAAGGCCTACGCCTTCGTCAAGATTGTGAATACATTACCACGAATGACATCAATATTTGTTTATTTCTTTACGTGGAACAACATATTGTTTAAGCAACGTACTTCGCAATTTGGTGTGATGGACTGAATATCGATTTTCGAGCAAACGAGCTAAAAGTATAAGGTCCCATTTGAAAAATTACATGATGAATATTAAAGACAATCTAATGAAGAAAGACTGAAAAGTTCTTTTATGTAATTATGAGTAACATTATAATTAAAACATCTGAGAAAGAAAAGTAGGCACTCATCAGAAGGGAAAAAGACATGTACAAAATGATAAGGGGGCACTTTAGGGGAACCTGAAAAAGTGGAGGCACAGTGCCCCCCCCCAACCAAGAATGCCGCCTCTGACTGTGGGCAAACGTGCGAAACTAACCCAGAAAATCTAGAAATAAACCACATTTCAATTTTATTTCGCGGGTCAACTGCCCCCTCCCCCATCAGTACGCCAGTGCTTCCAGTAGGCCTATCCTTCCATGAATTCCTATATATACCATTAAAAATTATCAGAAGGGAAAAGGACATGTACAAAGGATAAGGGGGCACTTTAGGGGAACCTGGAAAAGTGGGGGCACAGTGCCCCCCCAACCAAGAATGCCGCCTCTGACGAAACTAACCCAGAAAATCTAGAAATAAACCACATTCCAATTTTATTTCGTGGGTCAACTGCCCACCCCCCCCCCCCCCTATCAGTAAGCCAGTGCTTCCAGTATCCTACCATTAAAAAAATTCTGGGACAGAAAAATGCAGCTGTTATAGACCTCTAGATCTAAAGTATATTATTGTTACAAGGGAAATCAACTTTATTCTTTGTAATGACTGTGTTTATAAAAGCACGAAAATCATGAAAAAAGACAATTTCATTTCAATATATATTATTGTTACAATTACGGAAATCAACTTTATTCTTTATTCTTTGTAATGACTGTGTTTATAAAAGCACGAAAATCATGAAAAATTACAATTTCATTTCATTTTAGATCTAGAAATCATGATGGGAAAAAGTGTGGCGAGTTGTCCGATAAGGCTGTGGCGAGTTCTCCAGGGTATTGTGGCGGGATGTCCAGGGTATTGTGGCGGGTTGTCTTGGGGCAGGTTGTCTTTGTGGCGAGTTGTCTGGACCCCTAAGAGACAATAGAGAGAAGCCGACAGTACGGTATGGTCTCTAGTGCATATTTGGCCACAGAACTTTGCCAAAAATACTCAATTTTAGCAGATTCATATCCGATGCATTTATTTTTGAAAATTAGGCCTTGGTTATTATACACAGGTTCCACTTACCAGATTGACTGTATGATGCATATCATGATCTTCCTTCCAGATTTTCTTCGTCAAAACTGAGCCCCGTGTTGAAATCCATATTCCAGCCATATTTTAAAGCTTATCGACACTAGTGTAGCTAGGAGGATTCGACCACACAGCGAGGTCACTGACAGGTGGCTGTCTCATCAACTCAGCTCTCAAATAACTTAAGAAATAGAGGATCATGGGGGACCAACAGGCACCGATTAGGGAAGTTTTCTATATAGAGAGAGCAAGTAGCTACAAGTACTACAGTGGGGCTTTAAACTGTTAATTAAATGTGCATGAAGGAAGATGGCGTGTTGGCGTCATCCAGGACATTGACAGTAACAGTTTTAAATACGGCTTCTGGTCTGCTTCTGTCTCTATAGAGAGAAGCCGACCCTACCCAAATTAGACCGAAATTTTCGTTTGTTAGCCTCAGATTCGAGTAGGGTTGGCTCCTCTCTTTAGAGACAGAAGCCTACTATAGGCGCTTGTGTGTAAACTCGGTGGAGCGGATCTGACCACCAAACTTATGCTCAAATACTTGATTCTAGCGGATGCATATATATCCGATGCATTTATACTCCAATATTAGGCCTAGGCTAATCTACTTATCAACTTGACTGTATAATCCTGTATAATTTGATGGTCACTTTTCAGGAAATTATGGGTCAAAATCGACATCATTGTTGAAAATCTTGCAGCCATATTTAAACTCTCGCTGTGCATGGCGTCATCTAAATCTCAGCCCTTCTAGTCTACGAGCAAGGCAAAATGTTTATGAAGGAAAAACTGTGATAACGTCATTTACAAACTTGTAGCTCGTGCACAGTTTTTCACAAGGGGGGGGGGGGGGGGGGATACTACTACTAGCATTTTCACTGGAATCTGCTGGAAATTTGCCCCATGGTCTTTCTTTATCTAACAGTTAGATATTAAAAAAATATGATTGGAAAGAAAGTACATCTACGGTACTTTTCATATACTTTCAAATTAACGTTGAAAATCATTGTAAAACCAAAATTATATTAAGAATATAGCGACTTACTTTCAGCTTATCTGCCTAAAAAAATGGTCTAATTAGATATAAGGTAAGTAGGTCAAAGGTCACAGAGGTCAATTAAGAAAATTAAAGGTTTTTAGCCTTGCTATATCGCAATATCTAAACATTGTGTCAGCATGAGGATTATTCAATTGCAGGTTTGGGCTAATAGCTGTAGGCCAAGATCGTAGTCATCAGTTGACATGATTATATGCTTTTTTTTTCGTTGTGATATGTCACAAATAAATCCATCCAATTCCTATACTGAACTTAGGGCAGAGGTCACGCAGTCGCATTTGTCTTGTGATTCTTGTCACATTATTTGTTATTGTAGATGGTCATTTTTTTATTTTCTTTGTTCCTTGATTTTGTAGGCTGTGGAAATAGCAAGCTAAGCCTTGAGATGTATGAGGATGGATATCACAACATTGTTAATGTGGATTTCTCATCGGTGTGCATTGAGAAGATGAAAGAGAAACATCAACATTGTCCTATCATGCAGTGGATGGTGATGGATATCAAGGATCTAAAGTAAGTAAGAACCAATATGTACAAGACAGTAGGTGTACTTTTAAGTTATGTTTGTAAAATGATTTTGTTTTTAAAACAATAGATCAGGGAGTGTGTCTCCCATCTCCTCTGTTATACCCTGTTTGTGTGTGTATGGGGGGGGGGGGGGGAGGGTATGGGGTATTTTTTAAAATACCAGTTAAACAAAAATAATTGGGTCATCAGAGCTGCCAACCAGTACGTTTTAATCATATTTAGTACGACTTTTAGAAGTAAAAACGACAGTACAATTTTCCTCATTTTTTTTAAATAGGCATATTCAACTAATGATCCATAAAAATATCTTCCTGTATGTAGGAGCTGTAAGAGGCATCGATCAGGGGTAATTTTTTTACACCAGTTAAACAAAAATAATTGGGTCAATAGGTCACAGAGTTTTGTGAGGTAAACATGACATGAAATGTTCATGTTTGTCATTCTTTTTTTCTTTATTTTTGTCCATAGATTTCCAGATTGCAGTTTTGATGTTGTCTTGGAAAAAGGGACATTGGATGCACTTGTTGCTAATGAGAGGGATCCTTGGAATATGACAGATGAGGGGTATGATGTCATGGAGCAATCCTTAACACAGGTATATTAGACATTAGTTGTCAAGATTGTCAAGATATAGCGGCACAAGAAGATGCACTATGAACGCAAAAGACGTAATAATAAGTGATGTTTGTGAATTATAGGTTTTGGATGTTGACATATCTAAAAAAAAGTTTAGGTAATGAAGCCTAATCAAGATAGTTCTTGCCAGCTCCATATCTTAACAATGTGGTTATAGCTCTGTGTGAGAAAATTAGGCTTTTCATTTCCGGACACATCTTTTTGTGCCTCTACATTTCACTAAACAACCTAATAGACAAACCTTTGCCATTCTGGAAAATGTTCAGTTTAGTCTATTGCCAAAATATGGGGTATTCTAGTCTTACTTCCTCAATCCCTTTCCTAGAAAGTACAGTACATGTAAATGTCCCCTCCCTCCTTCTCAAAAGAGAGAGAGAGAGAGAGAGAGAAAGATGCTGAGTTACACTCAAGAAGGAACATTTAACATTTTCAATTTTTCATTCTACTTGTGAAAGTTTTTTTTATGGAGGGTTAGTTTTATGAAGACAGAATACAATTTAATTCAATTTTTTATTATCTGCAATCATTAATGTAAATTTGTTTTACCTGTGAATTACAAAATAGGTAGAGAAGATAGATAAAATAATGCAATGTAATGTGAACATGTAGAACAAACAAAAATGAGGCATGCGATATGTAATATAATTTCTATGCCAGTTCAATTTGTGGCTTAGCTCCAATAAACTAATCTCAATCAGCAGTCAACATAGATAAATAGTAGAGCATTAAATATTATAATCATGTATGCTGCTTTTATTTTTTGGTATTGAACATGTTGAATAATTATAAGTTAGATAGTACCACCTGTGCGCTTAGAAACATCTGTATAAAGCACCCTATAAATGTAATTATTATTATAGTGATTGGAATCATGAGAATTATGCTATCATAAAATTATGAACCAAGTAAATTATTTTGATGGGCAATTGGGAAGCAAAAAGACAAGGAGTGTTAACCAATTTTGTATATTAATGCTATTTTATGAATCACCCTCAATTAACAACTCATATCACGAGCCAAATGTCTTTGAACTATTCTTTGTACTGTTCTAATGCAAGTTTGTATTAAAATAATTTACTTTTCATTTTATGAACATTCTTTAGGTCAGCAGAGTCTTGAAGCCAGGTGGATACTTCCTATCAATAACCTTCTCACAACCACACTTTAGACGCCCTCTCCTCGCAAGAACTTTGTTGAAATGGAATGTTGAGTTGATGACACTTGGAGATCATTTTCACTTTTTCTCCTTTGCCATGGAGAAAGGTAAAGAAATGAGCGCCAAAGACAAGGAACTTGAAAAGGAGTCAATGCTGAAAAGGCAGTCTAATGCTCAAGGAAATGTTAAGAGACAATATGTGTACGTGAAAGATGAAGAGAGTGAGCAAACCTTCCTGAATGCTTTTCATTTATGACAGCTGAGAATCTTAAGCTTGCATTTTTTGAGATTTTATAGAGGATAGCTTGCGATATCTCTAATGGATTATGTAATGTGATCTTCTGGAACCAGTTCGGCAGTAATTCAACAATAGCGCTTCTCTTGAAAAATCAAATTCAGAGAAAAAACCAAAAAAATCTTCTTGTTTTCTATATTTTTTGTTTGTTCATGGAAGATAATGGTTCTTTAATGATTAGTGTATTATGTATCGGCAATTTTTTTAAGCAGGAAAAGAATTGTGAATAAACAGTAAGATTCATTGATAAAAGGTTCATCTTTCTAACAAACCAATACGCTATCCTGCCAAAGGGGTGCTACTTTGCCAAAAGGGCGTATCTTTACTTTGAGTCCTTGATCAAGACCAACCTTTTGCTGTCTAGTTTACTTACTGCTGTGATTTTGGAACTATAATGTGAAGGGCAGGTATAGAAACAGTGTTTTTTTAATGTCTTCTTATGGTGATGTAGATTATGAACAAGTTTGAGCCTCATATTTTAAGTGGTTCTTGAGGTATCGCGTTCATGAGGCAAATACCTGAAATTACATAGGCTGACCTCCGTGACCTTTGACCTAGTTACTAAAAAATCTAATAGTACATACATTTGATACTTAATATGTAGTTTAGCTGGTTACCAAGTAGAGGCTTTCCAGGACAAGATGATAGTAAAACGAGAATATATAACGTTTTTACCTTTTTAATGTCCTACTGCTGAAGAAGAGAAAAGAAAAGGAAAAAGAAAAGAAAAAAATAATATATATATATATATTTAATCATGGGTTGAAGAGCTCTACTTTACGTCCTTGTCATCCATCCTTGGTAGCTCTTATGAGTTAGCAAAATCTTAAGCAAACATTCAGCCAATCAACATCTTGTACGAGGTCAGCGTTTTGTAATAATATAATAACTAGTGGAATCCGTGGAAATCCACGGGCACTGAAAGTTTATTGAGATTAGGATTAGTTTGACTGCAACGATTAGATTGGAAAGGCAAGAATAACACATATCTGGACCAAAAAAAGCAATAAATCCATTTCGGAGAATTCTGGATATTTGTGACTAAAAAGGTTTCTGCTGAATTATAATAGAAATAATAAGGGAATAAATCCATCATATGTAAGAAGTGCTGTATCATTGAAGAAGATTTTTTAATAAATTATATACTTTTGTGGCCCTGGTTCAAAAGTATTGAAAATGGTAATTCATTATTTTGCAACAAAATTGCCGAGCAACCTACCTTTGTGTAGTGGGTCCCGAACAGGACTTCTCGTGTTAGCCGGGGTGTTACGCCTGGTCGGCTTTTTGTTAGCTTGACTTGTTTACAGATTTTTGTGCATACCTCCTTTAGTTTCGTCTAGTCCTTTGCTCATAATGACCTTTGAAAAAACGAAAAATGAAATTGCTTAAGCAGCATTTCGGTATGGTATTTATTGAATCATGCACTGTAGTTACATATACTGAATTGCACATGCATATACATTGCATTTTAAAAACAAGTGTATAATTTAATTCAAAACAGTATCATTTACATAATTATAAGTATGCGTATATGTCACATGTTTTTCCGTAATTTAGTACCAAATGTAAAATAAAAGCAAAAAAAGGAACAAGAAGGAAATGGGAGTGAGGAAGAGAGGAGGAGGATTTAGAGAAAAGAGGTTAAAGTGGGAAAGACAGAGAGATAGGAGGAGCAGAGAGGGAAGGAAAGTAGAGTTAAATGAGATATGTTCTACTCCCTAGGGTTAGGGGCCCCTCGCGATAGGCTTAAACGTATGAGTTCGGGCAGAAAATTGCCTTAGGCTGTAGAGGATATACCACTGCACTCGTGAAATTACGAAAAACAAAGTTCGCTTGATCTCCATTTAAAACACCGCTATTAGAGTTAAATGAGATTCGTTTTACAACCTGAGAGCCCCTCCTGGCAGGCTTGAACGTTTGACATCGGGCAGAAAATTGCTTTGGGTTGAAAAGGAAATACTCCAGCACTCATGAAATTATTTCCAGGGCCAGAAGAATCTCCGATTGAAAGTAAAGGGATGCCAAAGGGGCGATGAAAAACGAAATTCGCTCGATCTCCATTTAAAAAACCCCCATTAGAGTTAAATGAGACACGTTCTACTCCCTAAGGTTGCGGGCCCCTCCCAGAAGGCTTAAACGTATGAGATTGGGCAGAAAATTCCCTTAGGCTGTAGAGGAAATACCCCTGCACTTATGAAATTATTTCCTGGGCCATAGGAATCCCCGATGGAAAGGAAAGGGATGCCGAAGGGGGTGACGAAAAACGAAATTCGCTCGATTTCAATTTCAAAACCCCAATAATTTGTTAAGAGTTAAATGAGATTTGTTCTATTCCCTAAGGTGAATGGCCCCTCCCAGCAGATTTAAACGTATGAGATCGAGAAAAAAATCCCCTAAGGCTGGAAAGGATATACCCCTGCAGTCATAAAATTATTTCCAGGGTCAGAGGTATTCCCGATGAAAAGTAAAGGGATGCCAAATAGCCTGACGAAAAACGAAATTCGCTCGATTTCCATATAAAATACCCCCATTAGAGTTAAAATGAGATTCGTTCTAATCCTAAGGGGAACTCCTGGCAGGCTTAAACATTTGAGATCAGGATAAACTTTCCAGGGCCAAAGTAAACCCCACTAACAAGTAAAGGGGCGACGAGAAACGAAATTCGCTCGATTTCAATTTTAACATCCCAATTAGAATTAAATAAGATTTCTTCTACTCACTAAGCTAAATGGCCCCTACCAGCAGGCTTAAACTTATGAGATCAAGCAGAAAATTGCTTAAGGCTGGAGAGGATATAGCCCCGCAGTCATACAAATATTTCCAGGGCCAGAGGAATCCCCGATAGAAAGTAAAGGGATGCCAAAGGGGCTGACGAAAAACGAAATTCGCTCGATTTCCATTTCAACTCCCCAATTACAGTTAAATGAGATTTGTTCTATTCCCTAAGGTAAATGGCTCCTCCCAGCAGGCTTAAACGTATGAGATCGGGCAGGAAATTGCTTTAGGCTGGAAAGGATACACCCTTGCACTTATGAAATTATTTCCAGGGCTATAGGAATCCCCGATGGAAAGTAAAGGGATGCCAAAGAGGGTAACGAAAAACGAAATTCGCTCGATTTCCATTTCAACTCTCCAATTAGAGTTTAATGAGATTTGTTCTATTCCCTAAGGTAAATGGCCCTTATCCCAGCAGGCTTAACCGTATAAGATCGGGCAGTAAATTGCTTTAGGCTGTGGAGAAAATACCCCCGCAATCATGCAATTTCCAGAGCCAGAGGAACCCCCGATGGAAAGTAAAGGGATGCCAAAGAGGCTGACAAAAAAAACGAAATTCGCTTGATCTCCATTTAAAACACCATTATTAGAGTTAAATGAGATTCGTTTTACATCCTGAGGGCCCCTCCTGGCAGGCTTGAACGTTTGACATCGTGCAGAAAATTGCTTTAGGTTGTAAAGGAATTACCCCAGCACTCATGAAATTATTTCCAGGGCCAGAAGAATCCCCGATTAAAAGTAAAGGGATGCCAAAGGGGCGACAAAAAACGAAATTCGCTCGATCTCCATTTCAAAAACCCCCATTAGAGTTAAATGAGACACGTTTTACTCCCTAAGGTTGCGGGCGCCTCCCAGCAGGCTTAAACGTATAAGATTGGGCAGAAAATTCCCTTAGGCTGTAGAGGCAATGTCCCCTGCACTTATGAAATTATTTCCAGGGCCACAGGAATCCCCGATGGAAAGTAAAGGGATGCCGAAGGGGGTGACGAAAAACGAAATTCGCTCGATTTCAATTTCAACACCCCAGTAATAATTGTTTAAGGGTTAAATGAGATTTGTACTATTCCCTAAGGTGAATGGCCCCTCCAAGCAGATTTAAACGAATGAGATCGAGAAAAAAAATTGCCTTAGGCCGTAGAGGATGTACCCCAGCACTCATGAATTTTTTTCCAGGGCCAGAGGAATACCCGATGACAAATAAAGGGATGCCAAATAGGCTGACGAAAAACGAAATTCGCTCGATTTCCATATAAAATACCCCCATTAGAGTTAAAATGAGATTCGTTCTACATCCTAAGGGGAACTCCTGGCAGGCTTAAACATTTTAGATCGGGCAAACAAATTACTTTAGGCTGTAAAGGATAAACCCGTGCACTTATACAATTATTTCCAGGGCCAGAGTGAAACCCACTAACAATAAGGGAAGCCAAAGGGGCGACGAGAAACGAAATTCGCTCGATTTCAAACTTAATATCCCAATTAGAATTAAATAAGATTTGTTCTACTCACTAAGGTAAATGGCCCCTCCCAGCATGCTTAAACTTATAAGATCGGGCAGAAAATTACCTAAGGCTGTATACGATGTACCACTGCACACATGGAATTAATTTCATGCCCTGAAGAATCCCCGATGGAAAGTAAAGGGATGCCAAAGGGGCTGACAAAAACGAAATTCGCTCGATTTCCATTTCAACACCCCAATTACAGTTAAATGAGATTTGTTCTATTCCCTAAGGTAAATGGCCCCTCCCAGCAGGCTTAAACGTATGAGATCGGGCAGGAAATTGCTTTAGGCTGGAGAGGATATACCCCTGCACTTATGAAATTATTTCCAGATCTATAGGAATCCCCGATTGAAAGTAAAGGGATGCCAAAGGGGCGACGAAAAACGAAATTCGCTCGATCTCCATTTCAAAAACCCCCATTAGAGTTAAATGAGACAATTTCTACTCCCTAAGGTTGCGGGCCCTCCAAGCAGATTCAAACGAATGAGATCGAGACAAAAAATTTCCTTAGGCTGGAAAGGATATACCCCCGCAGTCATGAATTTATTTCCAGGGCCAGAGGAATCCCCGATGAATAGTAAAAGGATGCCAAATAGGCTGACGAAAAACGAAATTCGCTCGATTTCCATATAAAATACACCCCATTAGAGTTAAAATGAGATTCGTTCTACATCCTAAGGGGAACTCCTGGCAGCCTTAAACATTTGAGATCGGGCAGAAAAATTGCTTTAGGCTGTAACGGATAAACGCCTGCACTCATACAATTATTCCCAGGGCGAGAGTAAACCCCACTAACAAGTGAAGGGAAGCCAAAGGGGCGACGAGAAACGAAATTCGCTCGATTTCAATTTTAACATCCCAATTAGAATTAAATAAGATTTGTTCTACTCACTAAGGTAAATGGACCCTCCCAGCAGGCTTAAACTTATGAGATCAAGCAGAAAATTGTTTAAGGCTGGAGAGGATATAGCCCCGCAGTCATACAAATATTTCCAGGGCTAGAGGAATCCCCGATTGAAATTGAAGGGATGCCAAAGGGGCTGACGAAAAACGAAATTCGCTCGATTTCCATTTCAACACCCCAATTACAGTTAAATGAGATTTGTTCTATTCCCTAAGGTAAATGCCTCCTCCCAGCAGGCTTAAACGTATGCGATCGGGCAGGAAATTGCTTTAGGCTGGAGAGGATATACCCCTGCACTTATGAAATTATTTCCAAGGCTATAGGAATCCCCGATGGTGGAAAGTAAAGGGATGCCAAAGGGGCTGACGAAAAACGAAATTCGCTTGATCTCCATTTAAAACACCATTATTAGAGTTAAAAGAGATTCGTTTTAAATCCTGAGGGCCGCTGCTGGCAGGCTTAAACGTTTGACATCGGGAAGAAAATTGTTTTAGGTTGTAAAGGAAATACCCCAGCACTCATAAAATTTTTTCCAGGGCCAAACCCGATGACAAATAAAGGGATGCCAAATAGGCTGACGAAAAAGGGTTAGGGTTAGGGTTAGGGTAAGGGTTAGGGTTAGGGTTAGGGTTAGGGCTAGGGCTAGGGCTAGGGCTAGAGCTATAGGGTTAGGGTAAGGGTTAGGGTTAGGGCTAGGGCTAGGGCTAGAGCTATAGGGTTAGGGTTAGGGTTAGGGTTAGGGTTAGGGTTAGGGTTAGGGTTAGGGTTAGGGTTAGGGTTAGGGTTAGGGTTAGGGGTTAGGGGTTAGGGTTAGGGTTAGGGTTAGGGTTAGGGTTAGGGTTAGGGTTAGGGTTAGGGTTAGGGTTAGGGTTAGGGTTAGGGTTAGGGTTAGGGTTAGGGTTAGGGTTAGGGTTAGGGTTAGGGTTAGGGTTAGGGTTAGGGTTAGGGTTAGGGTTAGGGTTAGGGTTAGGGTTAGGGTTAGGGTTAGGGTTAGGGTTAGGGTTAGGGTTAGGGTTAGGGTTAGGGTTAGG